GCACATGCATATTTCGCTGCGCATACCCTCGTCTTCTGCACCCCCTGCCCACATCTCCTGCTGGGTAATGTGCCCCCGCAATCCTTTTCCCTGCGCCCCCGCTTCCTGCTAGCATCACGTCCGGGCAGATCCCAAACGGCCGGGCCCGAGTGCCTGAATGACAGTCGTCGTGCTGCCAATGAAGACCCTGAATAGGGGACGAAGGGGCTTTTCTGGTCACGGCGAGCCTCAGCCGTTCCCCGACCCAGACTTCAGGAACAGCCCGAAAACCAGAGCCCCTCCTGAGCCCAAGACTGCCCTGTGTCAGCGTCTTGGCTGTACGCCCGCGTTCCTTTGTCCTGCGCCCCCGCTCCCTCATAGCATGAAGTCCAGCCAGATCCCGAACGGCCGACCCCGAGTGCTCTACCTCTGCATCCCACCACAACTCTGCACGGGACCCCACACGTTCGCACTCTGCTACAGGCTGCCCAAAAGGAGCCAGAGTAGATGCGGTCGGGGGGTCGCACCGCATCGCCGATGCATCGGCGACGTGGGATGAAGACAATCGGGCTCTGGATCGCCCTGCATCGCCGATGCATCGGCGATGCTGCGCGACACACGCCGGCCCCATCTACTCGGGCCCCACTCCCACACATCCTCCGACGTGATTTCTTCGAACATCTGCGGCCCCAGAGCTCCCCCGGAGCCCGACATGAAGGAAACGCCAACGCCGCGATCGGGAACATCAGAAAAACACCATCGGATGGCTGGGCTTTGGGCGGCCTTGATCTGCGGGGGCCGCGCACGGCCTCCAGAATCCTCAGCGGGGTGCCGTCTGTGTCCTGGGGCGGGGCAGGGGGCGGATGTGATCCGCCCGCCGGGCCCAGCGTGGGGGGCGGCTCGGGCATGACCGATAGGCAACGCCTACCCCTGCAGGTCAAAGTTCTGAAACGTAGGCTGGGGCTCAGATTTGGCAGGATGCCTGCAGCAGCCAGGTGAGCCCCAGCGGAGGGGGGTCAGGAGCAGGAAAGGGGAGGGGGGTCAGGGGTCAGGAGACCGCCCAGGACTACTCGGGGGGCCTGCTGAGGCCAGCTAGAACTGCTCGAGGCGCATGTTGAAGCCAGTCAAGACTACCTGGGGGAAGCTGCTCGCGCGCGGCCCGAAGTCTTACCAGGTCCGGGGCAACCAGCGGCCCCGTCGCCAGAGCCCGCGTCGAGCGCTACGGGGGTGCAGGTTCCCAAGAGGGCGCGAGGAAGGCAGTGGCGAGGGCGGTCAGGATTGTCCCGACCCGCCCCTCGTGGCCCGCTGGGGTCGATTGCTTCAGAAGCCGCCCTACGGCTTTCGGGTCCCGCCCGGCCGACCCGCCTGTCTGAGTCCGCACGCCCGACCCGCCCGTGTGGGTCCGCCAGCTGACCCGCCCGTTAAGGGTCATCCGCCCGCTTGCTTGAAAACGAGTAGCCGCCCGCTGTAAGGTCCCGCCGGCCCAACCCGCCCGCTCGGGTCTGACCGCCGGGCCCGTACGTTGGGGTCCGCCCCCCTGGCCCGCCTGTTTTACCCCGTCGGGGATGACCAAAGAGCTGGCACGACAAAGGGGAACCCCGTCAAGGTGATACGCATATGAATGAGTAACGAGGGCGGTAATCGAGGGCTTGTGGTGCACGCGATAAGCGACACGCGGGCATTGAAGAGCGAACAGTCTGCAAAGTGATTGTTCTACGGCTGCTTCGTTTGGCCTGCGAGGTCCGTCTGGCTCTTCCTGGGGGCCCTGGGCACGTCTTTCATCAGCGGCTAACTTGAGGACACCAAACGCTATGCAGCAACACCAGGGGCACGAAAAGGAAAGGACGAGAGCGACCACGGAGGAAGACAAAGGCAGGAGCCGCGCTCAGAGCAGGAAGCACTTCGCGCCCGGTACCGGCGGCCTCAAGCTCCAGGAGAGGCCGTGCGAACTGGCCACAAGCTGCAGCAGAGCAACACGTAGGCCCCAACGTTGCGGACACACCTCGCTCCTGACCCTTCTGCTCCTCCTGTTTCGCCTGCTCCGCTCTCGTCTTCCATCCTCCTGCTCTGTCTTCTCACGCTCCGCCTCCTCATCCTCTTCCTTCTCCTCCTCCTCTGCTGACCCCCCCCTCATCCCAATCCTGCTCCTCAGCCGCGTTCTCCTTCTCCGTACCCTTTTGCGCTGGGCAAACCTGAGCGACGAGGCGGTTGAGTTCTTCTCGTCAAAAACCAGAGAGTGTACGGTCCGACCGGTAATCAACATAATCACCTTAAAGCAGACTCGGCGGCGCAGGAAGCGCTAAGAGACACAGGAAAGTGGAGAACCAGCGAGGGCATAGAGCATTAGATCTGCAGGCGTCGGCAAGGTAACCCACTCGCACCCCGCCCAGCTCCACAATCCGATCCCTCCCGCGACAAAGCCCCTCAAAGAGGGAAGTTCGAAACCTCACCGAAGGCAGCTGGTAGTCAATTTCTAAAGTGCCTCCACCGAGGCAGGATATGAACATACTGAGTGCGAAGTGCCACCCTCCACCGCCTACACCTCCACCATACGGCAACGAACACTCCCCGACCAACCACCCACACACACACATAGATATACACGCAGATATAAACCCTGCTGCCCTCCTGGCGGTCGACTCGCTCGTGGCGGTCGTCCCGCTGGGTTTCTCACTCTCCAGCTGGCAAAAGCTGGGGCTACTCAAATACAACGATGTCGAACAACCTGCAGGTGCTGAAGTTGCGGTGCCTGCCCTCATCGAGGGTATTGCTGTCGCTCCTTCCTCACCAACCCACCACCTCAACCCCCTGCCCCCCAACAACCACCCCTCACAAAGCCGACTGCCCTCACCAAGCGCCTTGCGGTCGACTCGCTCGTGGCGGTCATCTCGCTCGGAACTTCATTCCCCAGCGGGCAAACGCTGGCTGGTAACCTGCAGCTTTCCTTCTCCTCCTGGGTCTTCCTCCTCCTCCTCCTTCTCCTCCTCTTCCCCCTCTTCACCCTGTTCCTCGCGGCAGCGTCGACGCGCCTGAAATTTGCGAGCCCTGCACTTTCCCACCCCACCCTCTTCCTCCTGCGCCTCCTCATCCTCCTTCCCTTCATCACCCCCTCCCCCCGCCGTTTACCCCCTCTTCCCCGTCATCAAGTCGGGTCCCAAATTCCCTTCCATCTGCTGCCGCGACGCGCAGCGACAACGGCGGCGGCGGCGGCGGCCGCGACGACAACCACGGCGACCACGACGACGGCGGCGGCGGCGGCAACAAGGGCGGCGATTGCGACGGTAGTTTATGTACGGCGACGCTGGCCTGGAAGCCCAAAGTTGCCAAGGAGCGGCCGTCGTGGGTTGTGCTGTTCTCTCTTGGGCCAGTAATGGGGCCAGAGCAGGTCATCGAAAGCAAACAGACGAGAATATACAAACAACTTCTTCAAGGCTTGGGATTTATGCTCGTCTCGCACGGGGACATGTGGCCATTAGTTGGCGAGAAACCCCGCACATCGAGCCCCGATCCCCGATCGGCCGACGACGACCACCACCACAACGACCACGGCAGCGGCGGCGGAGACGATGACGACGACGGCGTCACTGAGATCCGACGTAGCGAACTAATTGCAACATCGTGAACGATAACGACCAGAGCCCCAAACCCCATCGTTCGGCATCATCCTTCCGAGCTGGATCGATCCGTGACGGGCCTCGGGGCCGAAAGCAGGGCGAAATCACCACGTGTGAGCAAAAGGCGACACCAAGATCTCGGAGGATTGCCAACGGCGGCGGCAACCAGGACTTGAGCAGGGACCGACCGTCCCGGTATTCCTATAGGCCTGCCACGACATGTTCTCAGAACCAAAGACTGTCCTAAGAACGAGAACGCTCCTCGTAGAGCATAAAACCTATTTACACAAGACAGATACAACCATAAATGTCCTAAGAACATTACAACCGAGAGAAACCCAATCAGAGAGAGGATGGCTTGAAGTTGGATCGATCAAGAGAGCGATAAGGAGATCGACTGGGAACCCGGGAACCCAGGAACCCACCGAAATCGGCCTGGAACCAAAACCCAGGAACCCGGGAACCCTGAACCGGGAACCCGGGAACCCGGCCAGCTACCAAAATCGGCGGGAAACTTTCGCCAAACCTTTCGATTTCCGCCAGGACCCCCTCGGTGCAAGCACTGGTTGGGGAACTTCGTGCAAGCCACAGGATGTTCTTGGAATGTTCTTTGGCGGGCCTGCGGGCGAGCCCAGACGCCTCGCGACTGCTTGAAGGACGACGGCGGCGGGCGGCGACGGCGCCCGGCGTGCCGCGGCGTCTCCTCGCCGAGCAGCCCGCCGAAGGCCCCAGAGCTCGCGCGGGAGCGGCGGCGGCGCAGCGGCTGAGCGCGGGGGGCGGGGGTGAGGAGGAGGGGGGAGGGCACAGGAGGAGCAGGAAGAGGACCTAGGAGGAGGAGGACGAGGAGGAGGAGGAGGAAGAGGAGGAGGAGGAGGAGGGCCCATGAGGAGGAGAAGAAGGAGCCAGGAGGAGGCAGGAGGACCCGTGAGGACCAGAGGAGGAGGAGGAGGACCCATGAGGAGGAGAAGAAGGGGGATGAGGGTGAGGAGGACCAGTGCAAATCCAAAACCCATCAATTGCAACAAAGCCTCCCTCCATGTTCCCCAATCATAGGACACTACACGGATACACTTGCACTGAAAGAAATGCCCCGTTGGAAGACAAACGCTCGAAACTCCAGAATCGTGCAAGAACGCAATTTTTGGGACATCAACGCCGCGAATTACCGTTACTGCTGCGTTACGACGATTCGGAAACATGCCAGAAAACCATCCCTGGGATTTCAACACCGCGAATCAACGGGGCTGGTGCGCCCTGACATCCCGACGTCGCCCCAAGACACCATTTCTGGTACGCTAACCATGGGAAACCTTGAATGTGTTGCAAACTCGAACAACGAATGCGCACGGTACTAAGGCGATAACCACAATTTGAAAACGGACCGCCCATGATCCGTGAAAGTCCGGCCAACTCTTATAACGAATGTGCGAGGGCCTAAGGCGAACAACACCACTTGAAAATGGCCCACCCTCCGTCCGCGAAGCTCCTGCAATGTGTTGATGCGAATGTGCGCGGCGCTAACCTGAGAGTCACATCTGAAAACGGGCTGCCCTCCATCCGTGAACCTCTTACAAGCTGTTACATCACATGTGCACGGCGCTGGGGCGATAACCACATGCTTAAAACGGAGCACCCTTCATCCGTGAAACTCCTGTATACTTTTAATTTGAAAGTGCGCAGCGCGAAAACCCAAACCACATGTTGAAAACGGGTCGCCCTCCATCCGCGAATCTCTGGCAAACGTTGAAGGCGAATGCGCACGGCGCTGGGGCGACAGCCGCATTGTGAAAACGGACCGCCCTCCACCCATGAAGCTGCTGTAAAATAAAAAATTCAAGATCCTAAATGGTAAGCAGGTCTCACGCGAAACGCCTGGCCGCTATTTTGACAGGCCTCGGGATGCGACAGGGAGGAGTTATCTATGAGGGAAATTGTGGCGGATGGAAGAGGAGGGGGAGGAGAAGGAGGAGAAGGAGGAGGACCCGGGAAGAGGAGGAGGAGGGAGGAGGAGTGGGGCCCAGAAGAGGAGGAGGATCCATGAAGAACCATGAGGAGGACGAGGAAGCGGAGGAGGAAGAGGAGGAGGAGGAGGAGGAAGAAGCGGAGGAGGAGGATGAGTAGGAGGAGCACGAAAGGGAGGAGGGGCAGGAGGAGGAGGAAGAGGAGGACTCAGGAGGAGACGGAGGACCCAGGAGGAGAAGGAGGACCCAGGGGGATGATGGGGGAGGAGGAGGAGGGAGGAGGAAGAGGAGGAAGAGGAAGGATGAGGGAGGGGGAGGAGGAGGAGGAGGAGGAGGAGGAGGAGGAAGAGGAGCAGGAGTGGCACTGGCCAGCCAGGGAAGAGCGGGTAAGGAAAGGCAGGACGGCACAGGAACTGACAGCGGGAACAGTGAGCAAAAGAGAAAAGACGTGCACTGCTGCCCTTCGTCAGAGCTAGCTCGAACGCGCATCTCAACAGCAGTGGGCCCAGGAAGAGGAGGAGAAGGAGGAGGAGGAGGAGGAGTATGGGTACCCTGAAAGAGAAAGAGAAGAGGGCAATCGGACACGGCGCGAGAAGATAGCAAGATGATGGTTCCCCCGCGCCACCGCAGCCTAACAACTAGTTCTCAGAAGTCGTAATCGTTGATGATGGCATGGGCATCGCGGAGAGCTTTGTGTTGAAGGACTGGCGCTCGACCCACACCAGCTGCTCCGCGATCGTGGTGAAGGTCAGCTGCTCGGTCGATACAGACGCCGCAGCAGACGGCGAAAAAGAGCTCCAAGTAGCAGAACTCGTTGATGGCGTAACGGTGTGCGTCTCTCGTCGGGCTCGGGCGGCAGCGCCATCTCGACGGTCTCTCTCGGCACTCGCTGGTCGGCAGTCTCGCTCGGCGTGAGCTCGGGGTCCACGGGCTTGTTCATGAGCAGCGGGGTGGAGAGGTCGATGGCGTCCAGAAACTCCTTGAAGCTGTTGCTGCACGCAGGGCTCCGAACGTGATCGCAGAGGTCGTTGAAATTGCTCTCGAAGTGGTACGAGCCGCCCCGAAGGTCAGGAAACGCCTCGTGGCCTTGAAGACGCCGTACGTGTTGCTCAAGGGAGTCGATCTGCTGCTGCATCTCCAGCGCGTCGATCTCGATGGTTTGGCAACGCTCCTCGAGCTTGTCGACTATCTCGCTCCGCACGTTGCTGAACTTAAGCTCCAGCGCAGAGAACTGCATCTTCAGCTCCTCGGCGGCGGTCTGGGGCCGCTGCATCTCTACGATTTCCAGCGTGGATCTTCAGGAGCGGGAGGCGGTGCACACGTCACGCGGGTCTTAATCAAGGCGGCAAGCTCGGAGCGCGTGTCGAGGACCTGCTGCTGGATCTCGTTGATCTTCGCCATCAGCTCCGTGATTACCTGCTCTTGGAGGGAGGCGATGGCGGGCTGCAGCCTGGAGTCGAGCTTCTGACCGACCATGGAGAGGAGCGAGCTCTTGAGCATGAGGATATTCTCGTCAATCGTGGCGTACAGGGTGTCGCTGGGCTGCGTGGCGTGCCGGAGCGCGGGCTCCACGGGCCCCACGGTGCACTCCGTCTCGGGATGGGAGGACGCGGCCACCGAGTTCAGCTCGGGGAAGACGGTGTCGTAGGCTTCCGCCCAGGAGACTTGCTTGTCAGCAGAGGGCAGCGCAGACATAGTGGGGGGGGTCGTACTGCCTGCAGGTGAGGTGCGAGATGTAGCAGTCCAGCATTTGTGGCGAGCAATGTTGCCAGCCACGTTCCAGCGCTTGAACTCCTGCTCCTCCTGCCAGGCGAGGTGGACCTGTGCAGCTGCCGCAGCGCAGAGCTCGGAGCCGTTCCGCCTGTGGATGCCCGTCTTCGTCTCAAGAATGCGCACGTTGTCGGTCGCCTTGGCGAGGATCTTCGCCTCGCGGGATACGGCTGCTGGGACCGTGATGCGAGCCAGTGCGGGGCCAGCACGAGGGTGTAGGAAGCCTTTGTCCACCGCACGTTGGCGGCGAGCGTCCATAGCGGCGAATGAACGGCGACCGCGAGGTCGTAGTGGGTTGCTGAACATCACCGCGTGTGCAGCGTAGATGAACGTGAACGAGAAGAGGACCCAGAACATCATGCCATGGCCTCCGCGCTTGCAGAGTCGCCGCTCGGGTCCCGGGGCTGCGCGCACGCGGGATTGGCACTTGAACCAAAATGGCTACGGAAGGAGGAGGAGGAGGAGGAGGAGGAGGAGGAGGAGACCCTCCTCCTCTATCCTGGGTTTTCCTCCTCCTTCTGGGTCATCCTCCTGTCCTTCCAGGAGGAAGAAGATTTCCCCCGGGGTTGTCGGAGGTGCCCGGAGGCTTTCGGACCCTCGGCTGCTGCCCAGCAGCCGCGATTCGTCCTCACGGGGCTAGCGCTGGTCGCGCCTGGGCCGGGGATGCCTCAAAGCAGAAGGGGGTGAGGAGCGACCGTCCTGAAGGAGTGCGGACATGCAGCGAGGCAGCGCGATCGGCGGCCGCTGGCAGCACTCGCTGCTGCCATGATCATGTGCTGAAGTGTGAGAGCATTGGGTGCGCTCCGTCGGCCGGCTTGCTCTGCTTTGAGCTTGTGATAAGTGTGAAATGTGAGATGCCAAGACAGGTACGTAACATGATGCAAGCGGGCGCGTGGATACTCCAGTTCAGGATCAGGTTCCATCCCCGGTTCGAGGCGAATAGAGGGGGTCGCGGGCAAGTGACCACGAGGGAGAGCAAGAAAGTGAAGCAGGCGAGGACACGAGATGTAGTGGGGGTTCAGAAGGAGGAGGAGGAGGAGGCGGAGGAGGTTGGCGCAGCCATCCGCCCGTCTGGTGGTGGGGGGGGCCGTGTGCTGCCGGCTGCGCCAGTGCAAGGTCACGCTCTCTGGTAACCCAGAGATGCGGGCCAGGCTCCTCGCGGCCGTCGCCGACTGGACCGCGCCGTGGACCTGCGGCGTCGCCCAGGGGGCGGCCCCTCCGGGCCCGGCCGCTGTTGCCGCGCAGCCGCCTCCGGCGCTCGCGCCAACCGCTGGCTGGCGGCCATGCTAGCGCTGGGACGGGCGACGCCGCCTCGCGCCCGCCGCGGCGCGGGCGCGCCGGCCCTCCAAGGAGGCGTGACGCACTTCGCTGCCGTGGAGCGTTGTCGCTCGCTGGGTTTTTCCAGAGTGCCGCGATGGGTGTGGTGGGGGGTGGAACGGTGGCGCGTGCGCGTGCGGGCGGCGCGTGCGCGTGCGTCTGCGTGCGTGCGTGGCCGTCTCTTGGTGCGCATGCGGCTGCGTGCGCGTGCGCGTGCGTGCGCGTGCGCGCGCGCGTGTGTGTGTGTGTGTGTGTGTCCCCACTTGGGGTGAGCGCCGCCGCCCGCCTCTGCCCGAGGCGCTGGCCACAACGTCCTACTTAGGGCGACGAGAAGAGAAACAAAGAAAAGAGAAAAGAGGAAGGAGAAAGAGGAGAAGGATGAGGATCAGACGGAAAAAAGGATAGGGAAGGAGAAGAGGGAGGATAGATAGCAAAGGAAAAGGAAGCATTTTGCAAGGAGGGCAGGCAGGAGGGAGGAGGAGTGAGGAAAAGATAGACGACGACGACGGCGACGGCGACGGCGACGGCGATGGCGCCGCAGAAGTCGCCGTCAGCCATGCCAAAGGCACCCGAGGGCCGCCGAGCGCCCCCGAGCGGCCTCCGAAAGGCAACGACCACGGACGACGACGCCGCTGTGCCCCGCCGGGCGCCACCGAGGCGCCGCCCAGCGCTGCCAAGAGGCCGCCGAAAGCTGCGGATCGGAGGGCCGCCGCGGGGCCCAGCGGCCGAGAGCTGCTGATCGAAGGCCGCCGCAACGGGCGCCTCCAGGTCATCCACGCCCAGGCCGCAGCGCAGGTGCTCGAGCCCGCGCTCCGCGCACCAGCCGCGCGCGACCTCCTGCCAGTCGTTGGCGTCTTCGTCTTCGTCGTCGTCGTCGTAATCGGCGGCGGCGGCGACGGCGAAGTCGTCGTTGTGGTCGCCGCTGTGCCCTCGAAAGGCTCCAGGGGCCTCCTGGGACCTCCAGGGGCTGCAGGAGGCCTCCAGGGCGACACCGTCATCGTCCTCGTCCTCGTCCTTCAGGGTTCTCAGAGTTCGTATGGAGGGACTACTTCTCTACTCCTTCCATTCCCTCCTCCTACTCCTCCCCTCCTCCTCCTCCCCATCCTCATCCTTCATCCTTTACTCCTTGTCTCTTTTGGCGGGCCCATCCCGAAGTCTTCAGCTGCAGGGGCCAGTCCTAGTCCTCTGCTGGTTTAGGCAGCACAAACTAGCACCTACAAGGCTTGTCTGCTCCTATATTGCATCGCTTTATCCTTCTCCTCCTCCTCCTCCTCCTCCGTCCTGGGAACTCTGTGCTCCTCAGCCCTCATCTGTCCTCTGTGCTCCGTCCTCCTTCTGCTCCTCCTCCTCCTCCTCCTCCTCCTCCTTCGCCCTCCTCCTCATCTTGGCCCTCCTCCTCCTCTTCCTCCTCCTTCTCCTCCTCCTCCTTCTCCTCCCCCTCCTCCTCTTCGTGGGGCCTCCAGTCCTCCTCCTCCTCATCCTGCTTCGGCTCCTCCTCCGCCTCCTCCTCCTGCGCATCATCAGCTTCATCATGATACGTATCATCATAATCATCATCAGCATCATCATCATCAGCATCGTCAACATCATCATCACCATCACCATCACCATCACCATCATCATCATCATCATCATCATCATCATCGTCGGCATCATCATCATCATCATCAGCATCATCATCATCATCACCATCACCATCACCATCACCATCACCATCACCATCACCATCACCATCACCATCACCATCACATCATCATCATCATCATCATCAGCATCATCATCATCAGCATCAGCATCATCACCATCACCATTACCATTACCACCACCATCACCATCCCCATCCCCATCCCCATCCCAATCCCCATGACAATCATCCTCATCGCCAGCAGCAGCAACAACAGCATCATCATCGTCGTCATCCTCATCACCATCGACATCACCATCATCATCGTAACCATCATCAGCAGCAGCACCAGCACCAGCATCATCATCATCATCGTCATCATCAGCATCATCAGCATCATCATCAATATCGCCATCGTCATCGTCATCATCATCATCAGCATCAGCATCATCACCACCACCATTAGTGTCATCATCATCGCCATCAGCATCAGCATCCGCATCAGCATCAGCATCAGCAGCATCTTCATCATCTGCATCTGCATCCGCATAATAATCCTCAGCATCATTAGCATTAGAATCAGCACCAACATCCGCACCATCATCATCATCATCATCCTCATCATCATCAGGAGCAGCATCAGCATCGGCATCGTCATCAGAATCAACATCAGCATCATTGTCATCACCATCATCATTGTCATCAGCATCAGCATCATCATCATCATCATCATCAGCATCATCATCAGTAGCATCAGCATCAGCGTCAGCATCAGCATCAGCACCATCATCTCTCATCGGCATCATCACAATCTGCTTCGGCATCAGCATCAGCATCAAAATCCTCAGCATCATCAGCAGCATCATCAACGGCGTCAGCATCAGCATCAGCATCATCATCATCAACACCCTCCTCCCCCTCCTCCTCCTCCTCCTCATCCTCATCCTCATCCTCATCCTCATCATCAGCATCAGTATCGCCATAATCATCATCAGCAGCATCATCATCGTCGTCATCATCATCATCATTATCAGCATCATCATCAGCAGCATCAGCATCAGCATCAGCATCAGCATCAGCATCAGCATCCGCATCAGCATCAGCATCAGCATCAGCATCAGCATCAGCAGCAGCACCAGCATCATCAGCATCAGCATCAGCATCATCATCATCATCATCATCATCATCATCATCATCATCATCAGCATCATTATCATCATGGGTCCTGCTTCCCTCCACCTCCTCCTCCATCCCACCGCCTGCCCCCCTCTCCTCCATGGCCCTGCGGCGCTGCCAGCCCCTGCCCCAGCACGCCCTGCCCGTTGCGCCACGCTGCCCGAGCCGAGCCGACCCTACCCTGCCGTCACCGCCACCGCCACACCTGCTCCCACCCCTCGCCCTGCAGCACAAAGCCCAAGGCACGAGATGCAAGGCCCAGACCAGCCTGGACACGCCGCAGGCACGGGCCCAGCATGGGCGGAGCCTGCCGAGTCCAGACACCCTCTGATGTGATGCTTCATTCCCGGCTCCCATGGAGCTCCTGACCGTTTCCCCGGGGGGCAGTTTTGCGCCAAGGCGGCCCGACAGCGGCCCCCGGGAGCTGAAGTGAAGGATCAGCCCCACGATTGAAACGAAACGTCGTCGGAGCTCTGCGACTCTAGCAGCGCGTCGTCCAGTACTGGGGACGCCCCCCTTTCCCCCTCCTGGTAACGTCACCATTCCCGCTGCCGCGCCGCCTGGGAACTTGCCAGGAGTAGCTAATTTCCAGGCGGCGCCTGCGCGAGTCGTGACGTTATCAGCACCCCCCCCCCCCCCCCCCACAGCCCCCCCAAAGGCCATTATCGCGCGAGGACAGAATAGAACGGGCTCGAGTCTCCCCTCCCAAGGTTGGCCTGCTGAGGAGTTTCCAGAGCCTTCCCCAAAGACGCAGGAAACTCCTCAGAAGGCCGGAAGGCTTCTGAGGAGCCTCCGCCGCCTTCTGAGAAGGCCTCCTCCCTCTCGCTTCCTCCCCTCGCTCGCCGCCGTCGACGCCCCAAGGGGCCCCCAGGAGGCCCCAGGGAGGCGCCAGGAGCCCCCCAAGAGGCCCCAAGCGACCCCAAATAGGCCCTCAAGACGAGACGCCCCAAGAAGCCCCAAAACGGCTCCCAAGAGGTCTCCAAACGGCCCCTAAGAGGCCCCCGGGAGGCCTCCGGCGGCATCCCAGCGAATATCCTGGAGGCCTATGACCCTACGACCCGCAGACTCAGCTGCCCCAGTACGCACGCAACACGCAACACGTGGCGCATTGATGCGGAACTCAACACATCGACTGAACACGTCGGCCTGGCGCGCTCGCCAAACCGTGGGCCAACACGTTGAGCCAATCCGCAACGTATTGGCACGGACGTTTTGAGCACGGTACGCGTTGCGCTTCACAACGGGCCCGAGCCTCCCCCCCAGGACCCGCTCTTCAGGCCGCCCCTCGGCGGTACCGCACGCCCGCGAAGTGCCGCCAGGCGGGCGCAGGCTCCGCAGAGCCCACGGCCGCACAACGAGCCGCCCGAGCGGCCGCCGTCCACGAGTACGACGAGGCCAGGACGAGGATAAAATGAGGCCAGGGGGGGAGGAGTAATTACATCTGTGCTCCCGAAGAGTTGTCGTAGTCTTTTCTCTTCTCTTTATCATTCACCTTCTCTCTCTCTCTCTTGCTTTTATGTTTTTAATTGCTCTCTCTCTCTCCTCCTAGTAAGACGAAGCCAGGAAGAGGATGAACATGCGCCGACCCTGTCGGTGTGAGGGGCTTGTCCGTTCGAGTCGTCCTTTTCATTATTCGTGAGTCGTCGTCTCTGCCCGCTGCTTTCCCTGCTGCCCTCATTTCACTGGGCCCGTCGCCGATCCCCCCGCTTTCCTGGGTCCCCCTCCCCAAGCGCGCCAGCCAAAGCGAAATTGAGTAACGTCGAAATTCAATCGAAGGGAAGCCACCTCCCTGTGTTCTGTTCCCCGTCGGGGGGGGTCCCAAGGGGGATACGACTCCCACCCCAGGGGGGTCGCCACCCAGATATGTACGCCTCCCTCCCAGGGGGTCCCAGGTCCCCCCAAAAAGCCCCAGGACGGGCCAGGAGTCAAGAGTGCCCGAAGAGGCCCCCAAGACGAGTCCAAGAAGGCCCCGAATCGCCGAACGATCTGTCCAAGACGCCTTGACGGCCTCCAGACGGCCCATGAGGCCTGCAAGACGCCCAAAGAGGCCTCCAGGATCACTCCCAAGAAAACCCCAAGACGCACAATTCATTCATTTCTTTTAAATGTTTGAAGGATTTGGGTGTTCTCGCCGTTTCCGCTTCCCGACGCTCCAAGACGGCCCAAGAGGCCCCAAAGATCGCACCAAGACGGCCCAAAGTCTCCAACATGGCCAAAGAGGGCCCCCAGACGACGCGAGACGCCTCCAAGACAGGCCAAGAGGCACCCAAGACGGCTCCCAGAGGGTGCCCAGACGGGGGGCCCGAACGGACATCTCGAGCACTCGCCCCCGAGAAGCTCTCAGGAGGCCCCAAGAGGCCTCCAAGACGCCCAACAGAAGCCCCCAGGAAGCACCTGAAGGCCCTCAAGGGGCCCCAAGAGGCCCTCCAAGAGTCTCCCAAAACGCCACCAAATTGCCTACGCGAGGCCCCCGAAAGCGCTCCGAAGAGACCCCGACAAGCATCCCTTCCGTCCCCTGCTCCTCACCCTCCTCCTCCTGTTCCTCCGACTCGTCTTCGTCGTCATCCACCTGCTCATTGCCCGTCTCGATCTCCTTCTGCCCCAACTCCCCCTGCTCATCCTCCTCCGCATGCCTTGCCCCATCCTCCCTCTCCTGCTCCACGGCGTCCTCCTCCTCCTCCTGCTCCTCCTGCTCTTCCTCCTCCTCCTCCTCCTCCTCCTCCTCCTCACCCTTTTCTTCCTCCTCATCCCCCTTGTTCGCATCTTTCTCATCATCCTCCTCATCCTCGCGATCATCTTCCTCGTCATGCTCCCCCCTTCCCCCGCGTGCTCTTCTCCCGGTGCTCCGCAATCGTACCTCGACATCGTTCTTCCCATCCTCCTCCTCCTCCTCCTCCTCCTCCTCCTCCTCCTCCTCCTCCTCCTCTTCCTGCCCCTCCTCCTCCGCCTCTTCCGCGTCCTCCTTCTTCTCTTGCTCCTCCGACTCCCATTCTCATCGTCCTCCTGCTGCCCCTTCCCCCCCCGTCCTCCCCCTGCCCATGCTCTCCATCCTCATCCTCCTCCGCATCCTTCTCCTCTTCCTCCTCCTCCCCCTCCTGCTGCTCCACCGCGTCCTCCGCCTCCTCCCCCTGCTGCTCCTCCCTTTCCTTCTCCTCCTCGTACTCGTCGTCGTCTTCAGGGTCGGCGGCACTGGCCGAAAGGCCTTCACAATTGGGTGAAGATAGATCGAGCATCTCTGAGACCCGGCGGCTCTTCTGGAGGATGCTCGGGCGCCGCGACCTTCTCGGAGCGTTCCGGAGCGCTCTGAGAGTGTTCCTGAACTCTCTGGAACGGATTATCTTCGGCGGTGGACAAACCTCCCTTTAGTAAACCACCCTTTAGTGAAAACGGCCTAGGACCGAAACCGACGGACCTGGACCCGCAAGAATGACGGCCGCGACGCTCTCTCGCGAACCGAAAACGGCCAATTCGCTAATCGACGTGTTAGGGTAGGAGGTCCATCAACCTCCGAATCCTCGTCCTGGCCCCGCCCGAACAGGGCCCGCTCTGCACGCCGCTCTCGGCGGCTCCGCGCACCCGCGAGATGCTGCTGCAAGAAGGGCGCAGGCCCAGCACGGCACGAGGCCGCACACCCAGGGCCGCACCTCGCCACGGGTTGCCCGCCCACAAGACTGCCCTGCCCCTCGGGCTCTGCCAGATTCCTGCCTCCTTTGCGGCCACTGGCGCATTTTTCTCCTCCTCCTCCTCCTGCCCCTCCTTCTCCTGCCCCTCCTCCTCCTCCTCCTCCTGCCCCTCCTCCTCCTCCTCCTCCTCCTCCTCCTCCTCCTCCTCCTCCTCCTCCTCCTCCTGCCCCTCCTCATACGCCTCCTCCTGCCCATCCTCCTCCTCCTCCTCCTCCTCCTCCTCCTCCTCCTCGTCCTCCTCCTCCTCCGCCTGACCCTCCTCCTCGGCTTTCGGAACTCCGCGCGGATGTCTTGGACCAGCGCCAGATCCCCCTGCCTGGCGGGCGGGGCGAGCTAGGGGCGGTGCCAGAGGCGCGGCAAGGCGGACCCAGTGCTGATCCAAGAAATCAGCGCGGAGCTCCGAAAGTTTATGTTCACGCCGCTTATCACTGTTATGGGCAATGTGGGGATACTACTATAGTAAAGTAATAAGTGCTCTTATGGTTCCCTTCTTCTTCTCCTTCGACTACTGCAGGAAAAAATCGACTCCCCCCCTCGAGATGGGTAACGTTAGGAAGAACTGGCCCAGGGGGAGACATCGAGCTGGAGTCGGCAACACGTCACCGATCAAACGGCCATAGGCCCCCGAGAGCGAATCCGCTCGCTCCTGGGCGGGGTGAGCCATTGGGCCTCTGTCGGCGCTGCATGGGCGATTGGGGTCCGATGCGCCCCCCCCCCGTGAGCCCATCCCCCGCTGACGTTGCCCCTGGTCACTGGACCATAATGCGGCTCTCCGGCGGCCGCTCGGGACGATCCTGGCACGGAACACCCTCGGCGACGCGCAGCCGCTGGAAGGCATCCCGAGGCCAGAAAGCCGCTGAGATGCGACGAGCATGTCCAAACACCTCGGACCTCGAAGCTCGAACCTCGACCAGATCGCCGCCTCGACGATCGAACCTCGAGCCTCGACGTTCGAACCTCGGACCCCGAACCTCGACGCTCGAGCGCCGACGCTCGAGCCTCAACGCTTGGACCTCGACGCTCGGACCTCGACGCTCGACGCTCGAACATCGGCGCTCGACCTGATCGCTGCCACCCGCGGGGGTCCTCGGCCTCCTCGCCGGCGGCCGCGGCCGCGGCCCCGCTCTCCACGGCCACGCACAGCAGCACCCGCTCCTGCGGGCGCGGGCGGCGGCCGCCCCTCGGGCCCTCGGGGGCGTCCGGAAGGAGGAGGGCGCGAGGAAAAGGAGGAGGATGAGGTGGAGGAGGAGGGGCAGGAAGAGGAGGAGGAGGAGGAGGAGGAGGGGCAGGAAGAGGAGGAGGAGGAGGAGGAGGAGGAGGAAGAGGAGGGGCAGGAGGAGGAGGAGGAGGAGGAGGAGGACAGAGAGAGAGAGAGATGGCAGCGAGAGACAGAGTTACAGAGACAAAGAGAGAACAAAAAAAAAGGAAAGTGACTCCGGGCACGTCAGAAGCGCACTGGCGGGGGAAAGTGGAGCTGACGTGGCCGCTCTCTCGGCCGGGCGCCTCTGAGAACGGCCTGGGCGCCGGCCAGGCGGAGGGAGGCGAGATGAAACAACGAGGCGAGAGGGGGTGCGTGGTTGGAGAGGAGGGGGTTGGGGGGCCGGGTGGGGAGGAGGGAATGAGCAGGGACCGACCGTCCCGGCATTCCTATATGCCTACCACGAGCTTGTCTTAGAACCCGGAAATGTTCTAAGGACAAAACAATGTTTTTCGAGCATAATCCTGGTATGTTAAAACAAGACAGTCTCGACCAGAAATGTTCAAAGAACATCTCGTGCAGACCACACAAGGTTCTTAGAACATTCTTTGGTCGGCCTATAGGCGTGCCAGGGCGCTTCGCCACTGCTTGAAGGGAGGGGGAAGAGGGGAGGGGGGTGTGGGGGGGGGGGGGGGAAACATCCGCCGTGACTTGTTCAATGACGCTGGGGGCCTGGGCCCAGGATCATGCGCCGCGCTCTGGTCCGAGACAGAGCTCAGCGCGGGCCCAGCCGCGCGACGAGGGGCCTCGCGGGAGACCCGGAAGGACCAAGCGCTGCAAAAAGACCTCCATCCCCGAACCTCGACCCCTCGACGCCCTTTGCGCCCCGGAGGCGGGAAGCAGCAGGACATGGCATCCTCCTCGTCCGAGTCCGGGCTGTCGCCGCCCGCGAGGGGGAAGCCCGCCTCCGGGGGCATCGATGATGATGATGCTGCTGATGATGATGTTGCTGATGATAATGGTTGTGATGATGATGATGATGATGATGATGATGATGATGATGATGACGATGATGATGTGATGATGCTGATGCTGCTGCTGATGCTGATGCTGATGATGCTGATGATGCTGATGCTGATGCTGATGACGCTGATGATGATGATGATGAGGAGGATAATGGTGATGATGATGATGATGATGATGATGATGATGATGATGATGATGATGATGATGATGATGATGATGATGATGATGATGATGATGATTATGCTGATGATGATGATGCTGATGCTGATGATGCTGATGCTGATGCTGCTGCTGCTGCTGCTGATGATGATGATGATGATGATGATGATGATGATGGTGATGATGGTGGCGAAGTGAAGGATGCGCAGCACGCTGCGCCACCAAGCCGACAGCACGCTTCGCCACCACTGCCGCGACGCCCACGCCTCCGACATCGGGGTTTCCTTTCAACGGCGTGGTTCTCCCCAAGGAGGCCTGGACCGCTTCTCTCGGGGGCCAGCTTCTCTCCCCGAGTCGTTGTTTAAGTCGGGCATGTCCCCCTACAGGCGGATTTTGGACGACAAATCGACGAAAATACTAAAATATCCAAAAATAGCCCCCCTCCCCCAAAAAAGCAAAAAAATCGTCCCTTGACTATTTTCTACTATGTTTGAATATTCCTCCGGTAGAGAGAAACGCGCGACTGAATCGTTGCTGCGGACGGCCCAGGGCGAGGGCCCCCCAGAGGCCGAGGATGGAGAAATCCAGCCAGCAGCAAACTGTTGAATCGGCGTCGCCAGCGGACGCGGGCGCGGGGGTCGCGAACGACGGCAGGGCGCGCTTGGAGCGGGCGCCGGGGCGGGTGGAACAGAGGAGGGCTGCCGCGGAGGAGCGAGCCACGCGCAGGCGAGTGAGTAACGCGCGGGCGAGTGAGCAACGCGCAAGCCGACAGCAAACACGTCACGCTTTGGTTCGCGACGCGAGGGGGTCGGGCTCCCTTTACTTCAGCGTCTTGACTGTGCGACGGGGACTGCTGGCGTCGCTCGAGGTGTGCGAACTCTGTGGCCCGGGGCCGCGCACTGCTCATGGGCCTGACGGGGCTGGCCGCTGGTGCCCTTCTCTTTATGAGACTGGCGACCATCCGATCCGAGGGGCGCAGTCATCGGTCGGAAGAAGTGGGCAGAACCATGTTCTACATCAAGGAGCGCATCATCACCAGCAGCAGCTTCATCGCCACCACCCTCATTACAATCAACATATCATCAACTTCTGACGAGTCCGCCCTCATGGCAATGCAATGGGAGGGTGCGTAGGTCACATAATGCCTGTTGGAGGTGGTGTCCGTGTCAAGAGTCGGCGGTAAGAAACAATATAATGATACAAACAAGGTACGACCGATCTTGCCCGGCGTAATTCGAATAGTGGTCTATGATTGAGATGGGCCTTGTCTAAAAAGCAGGAGGTAGGAAGCGTTGAAAGTAGATTAGCTTCTGCCCGCCCCCCAAATAGGCAGGAAGAGGGAAAACCACTCGATGATTGAAATAGGGTGGTGCCAACAGTAGAATGAAACCTGGGAGCCCACAAGTACCTACTTTCAAGGACCAGCGGAGACAGTCCTCGTGATACCAGCTATCATCAGGCACGCCAGGGAACGAGGCGACTTTCCTCGCCACGGCGAGCCTCGGTCGCGAACAAGCTCCCCGACCTTCGATCCGAGGAACGGCTTGAGAACCAGGGCCCCTCCTACGCCCGAAGTCGTCTTTATTTCACCGTCGTCCGAGAACTCGCCAAAATGGATTACGGATCCGTGGAGCTGGCGCGTGGGCGCCAGATCCGCGGATCGGGGGAAGTCCCCCCCGGAAGCACTCAGCAAAAACGCCGCTCGATTTGGCGACGGAGCGCGCCGAATCTGCACGGAACCGGAACCAGTGGCCAATCCACGCGCCTGGATTCATGTTTCGGCGGCGAGCGAGGGGGGGAAGTGAGAAGGAGGAGGCCTTCTCAGGAGGCGGCGGAACTCCTCAGAACTCCTCGAGCCTTCTGAGAAGTTTTCTGTGTCTCCGCGGAAGGCCGAGAAAACTCCCGAGCCTTCTGAGAAGGCCCGCCCCGTCCCACTTCCCCCCCCAGGCTCGCCGTCGAATGTTGCGCTTCCTTGAGCCTTGACTGTGCAGCCATCGTGCTGCCATGCAGCATGCTGGCAGAGGGGCGGTTCTGGCCACCGCGAGCATCGGCCACGAGTAGGCTCCCAGAGCGTGACCTAAGGAACGGCCTGAAACTGGAGCCCCTCCTGAGCCCAACGTGGTTCTTATGTCAGCGCCTCGACTGCGCGCCTTCTACGGAGGCGCACGCCCAAGCGAAGACAGAGTGCAGGCATCTCGTCAGATCTCGCTGGCCGAGCGGTATGGCCAGACAGCGCGCGCCACCGAGCATACACAAGAAGATTTCTGAGCGCGCGGGCCGCTCCTGGGGGCCGAGACACACACAACACACACACACACACACACACACGCACACACATACACACACACTGCAGAAGTACGGTGAGGGCATCGGATAAGGAACTGGTGGACAGGGAGCGAAGGGTCTGAAAACCTGGAGGAGCAACAATCGAGGCTTGACCATGGACATCAGCGCCGCCCTCATCAGATCAGGAATCCTCCTGGGCCTGAAGCCTCCAGGGCGCACTCCGCAACGGACGCTACCACCATAGCATGAGCATGTTTGGGTGATGTGCCCCTGCGACGCCACAAGAAACACCCAACAGGCCCGAAGAAGCCCCCAGGAGGCCCAAAAGAGGCCCTCAGAGGTTCCCTAGAAAAGGCACCATAAGACATCCCCCGTGGACTTCATCCCTTCTCTTGGGGTCGGCAGAATGGCGCAAGCCTCTTAAGAAGTACGTTTGGGTGATGCCGATGTTCGCATACGCAGAAGGCATCTATACACCACCACCGTGCCAGGCCAGGGCCATCCTGGCCTGGCCTAGTTTATACGGTATTCGGCATCCTGGCCGAGGCCAGGAGGGTCTATACACCATCCTGGGTGGAGCCCAGGACGGCCCTGGCCTGGCACGGTGGTGGTGTACAAATGCCTTCGTCGGATCGCACGCTGCTCCCCCCTGCCCCGACCGCGGTAGCAGTGGACGCCCGCGGAGCGCGCCCTGAAGGCCCGCCCGCCGCCCTCTGCCGGCATCCCGCCAAGCCTCTCGGGGCCCTCTCCGGGGGCCGCAGCTCCAGAGAGCGGCCGCGCGCGCTTCGCCCGCGCGACGGCCGCCCCAAGGCAGCGGCCTGTCTGGCCCGAGAGCAGGACGAGCAGAAAGAGGCTTCATGGAGCAGGTCCCGCTGTGGCTTTCACGTTCCCGTGAGTTCTGCCATCAGTGCGTAAGGTCTGGTCCCCTGGCGGTTGCGAAAGCCACATCGTTGGCACTGCAAGCGGAGCAGACTGAGGACGAGAGCGGACGAACAGCAAGGGCCCGCCTGACCCAGCCTCTCCCCGCTCCTCCCCCTCCGCAACTTCCTCCGTCCCCTCCCCTCCGACTCTCCGCCGCTCCTCGCGCAGATCCAACGGCAGGCCCAGGCTGGAGCGGACCGGAAACGGGTCGGAGGGCGCCCGAATCGGCGCGGAACCTGATCGAGAACTGATCGCTTGTGATCGCCGATCGGGCGCGGCCCCTGCTGGCCAGAGAAGACGTCTTTCGCTCCGAATCGGGCCCTGAGCAGCCCTGCCAACTGCCCGTCCCCCAGGAGCGGGGGAGCGTGAGCCGGCGCCTCCTCCAGCGCCGTGCGCGCCGAAGAGAAGGCGTCTGGATCCGCGAGGTCCTCTCGCGCTGGAGTCGGCTCCACGCGGGAATGACCCCAGGCAAGAGTAACCTTCGGTGCGCGGATTCAGGGGGGGGCGCGGAGGGGCCAAACCTAAGTGTGCAACCCGCTGCTACCGCATAGCATGCAGCGATCGGGGAACCCCAATGGGCCCGCACCAAAGGCCACTCTGGCGAAGGGTCACTCGCACGTGTCGTCGATTGAAGGGAGGAGCGGGTGCCGCCCTCAGGTGCCCCCGGCCCAAGGAGACCCCAGGACTTCCAGGGTTGTCGGATTGTGCTTGCCGTGCGGGCTGCAGCACGCACGTAAGAAGCCGCACCTAGACGGCGCATCGGCAGAGCATATTGTGTCAAGAAGGCAAGGGACAACCCATGCAGAAGACATGTGCGGGCTGAGTCCAAGCGCGCCGGAACGCAACGATTGCCTAGATCCAAATGTCCATGCGGCCACCGCCTCCAGCTGCAGCCCACGCTCCAAAAGTCCATGAGGCCAGCGCCTCAAAAGTCACGACTGGAGCCCCAGACTCATGTTACTCCCATCGCACTGAAGAACCACATCCCAGAAATAATTTCGAGCACCCAGAAAAGTATCGAAACAACGTCGAACGAGTGTCGCCTCCCAGGGCCCGGCACGTGAAACCCCAAACGTTTCGGTACTTTCGTGGTGCTCGAAATTCTTTCTGGTGGTCAAGACCAAAGCAGGTAGGAACATCACAACCCCAGACCCCAACGTTCTGCGGCATCTCTGGAGTGGGGCAATCTGCGACGGCCCCTGGACCCGCACCCTGGCGAAGGCGCCCAGTGCGAAAAAGCACCCCAGCAAAGCACCCGAATAGCAGACAGCAGCACAATTGACGAGAGGCGGGTCGAGGAGCAGGAGGTCGCGACACGGCCCTGCGCATCTCAGTGTACTCTGCACCGGGGATCGTGGCCGTCTGGGGCAAACATGTGGCCCGGCATGGAGGCGAGAGCACGACTCCTGAAAAAGTCGCGAGGCCATCTCGGGCGAAGTCGGCGCAGGACTGGGCGGTCTCGTGCTCCCCGCCCACCCCGTGGGACTCTTCTGCTGACTTTTTGCAACCCTGCTATAGATGCCCCCGGCGAAACGCTGTTCGGGAAAAATGCGACGCCGGGGCCTCAGGGCTGGGCCAGGACCACTTCTGGCCATGCCCGAGGGGAAGTCCCTAAGGGGAACGCCAGACAGCCCTGCGGCTCGCCACCGTGCGAAGGTCTGCTAGCAGCCTGAGCGCGAGGGCAGACTGCTCGACCTTCGGCGGCGCTCGGATGCGGCCGCGGGCGGGGAATGCGAGGGCCGGGCGACCGCAAGGCGAGTCGAGATGACCCAGTGATCCCACATGGGTCCTAGATGGTCTTAAGACGACCCGGCGATGGCGTCAAGACGACCCGAAGTCGACCCCATATAGCTAATCACGTGGCACCGACAACAGGAAGGGCCCCTTTATAGCTTCTAGATGGCTTCTGGATTACTTATGGGCAGCACGGAGGTATCCCGCTATCTGAACAAGAGGCGGCCCCTTTCTCCTGACGACCGCAGGATGGCCCCTAGGCGACCCCAATACGGCTTCAAATTGCTAACTGTCGAGACCCCGCGACTGCGAAAGGCCGCGCGGCTTTCCTGGATTGGCGCTGGACCCCCCTCTCTGGCGCGCGGAGCGCGCCAGGAGCTGCGCCGGAGGCGCCGCCAGGGAGGCCCAGCGCCGACCCAAGAGATCCGCAAGGAGCTCCGAATGTTTATGTTTATACAGTGTGTACACTTGCTTCTTCGTCTTCGAGCTCGGTTGTGGCGGGGGGCGGGGAGCGCGAAGGCCTCCAAGCGCCAGTACAGCTCATCTTCAGATGGGCGTTGCTTCCTTCCTCTGCGGCTCCACGCTCGACCTGCATTGAGCAGGGACCGACCGTCCCGGCATTTCGATAGGCCTACCACGACATGTTCTCATAACCCAAACATGTTCTAAGAAGAAAAACACTGCCCTTAGATCAAACGCGATGTGTTAAAACAAGACAGATTCAGCCAGACATGTTCTAAGAACATTTCGTGCAGGCCACAAAAGACTCTTAAAACATATGGCCGAGGACGGGCGCATTCCCCTCGACACGCTGGCTAGACGGCAACCCAAGCACGGTGGAAGCCAGCCGAACAGACGAGGCGGGGATTTACTATGATGATGCTGCTGCTGCTGATGATGATGATGATGACCCTAGAAGTCCATAGAAGGCTTACCCAGCGAGCTCACAGCAGGGATCGGAGAGTCCCTGCGGGGCCAACGCCTTGTCACAGCGGCTCGCCCGCTAGCTGAAAAAGAGACATCATCATCATCAGCATCAGCATCATCAGCAGCATAATCATCATCACCATCATCATCATCTGTTCGTAGGCGGCGAGGTGGAGGCTATCCGCACCAGCGTGGGGCTAATCGGGGCAAGCGATCGGCAAACCGTCCGGCGCGGAGACCGACACTGTGGCGGGACCCTGAAAGCCAAAAAACATGTCTTGGGCGCGCATCCTTTACCTCCGCCGGCGGGGCCGCCCCCGGCTCACTGCCGCCGGCCTTCCGCCGAGAAAGAGGTGTCAGCTCCTGCGGTCCCTCGAGGGCGAAGCCATTCCTTGAACGCCGCACATATCCACCGCTTGAAAGGAAGCCCTGGGGCAGCAGGAGGCAGTGGACCAGCAGGAGGCAGGAGACCCAACAGCGCTCTACTCAAATCCGAAACCAATCGTAGGAGGGTCCGCGGGAAAAGAGCACATGGCGCCGCTCGACAAACCCAGAATACAGAACAGTTCGAATTTCTTGGACGGCAAAAATCAAACCCCTCCAGCTTCTGCTGGCGGAGCCGCCCCCGATTTACTGTCGCCCGCTTCCGAGGATAAAAAAACGGCAACCTCTAACCTCTCGACCCCTCGAAGCCGAGGACCTCTCCGGGACGCCCCACATGTGTTCCAAGGAGCGCGCGCTTTTGCAGCGCGACCGGTCTGGAGCCTGCGCCATCTGACGCCCGCGGAGGCGAGGCGGGGAGGCAGACCTCAGAGGGGAATGAGGGCAAGCTAGGTGCGCTCGCTCCATATCTGACCGTCTACCCCTTCCACCCATCACTTCTCACTGCGCTGATTTTTCCGTTTCCACCGACGGGTGTCCTAGCGGACCTGAAACCCTCAGAAGGACCCCGTCGCATCATGCGCGGTCAGAGAAGGAAGGCTGTGTACAATGGAGGAGGAGGCGGATGAGCATAGGATGAGCATGAGGAAGGAGGAGGACGAGAAGGAACCGCAGCAGCAGCATGAGGAGGAGCGAGAGGAGCAGAATAATCACGGGAAGGCAAAGGAGGGGAATGGAGCGGGCGGCAACGAGGATGAATACCTCGGATACAGAATTATGGCCCGCGCTTGGGCGAGAGCGCGATTTTGAACGACGTGGCCAAGCGTCGATCGTAAAACCAAGCCAACGCAGCAGCGGGAACCACATTACGAAACTATGGAAATGCTCCGATTGGAAAAGGAAACTTGGAAAAGGAATAGTGGAAAAGAATGTGTACAGTCCTGTGCAGTAAAATAAACCATATGCGGGAGGAAATGGGCCACGCTCGGACAGGATCCGGGGAGAGAGGAGAGCCGCATTCATTTCACAAGCAGTGCTTGCACTCAGGGGTTCTTGCTTCTGCTCTAAGAAGCTGGGCCTGACCAGTGGTATGGCCGCTGTGTGGTCTCCGTCGCCGCCCCGTCGTCGCCTCGTCACAGACCGTCCTCTGGGCCTGCCCGTCGGTCTGGCGGCTATGTGGCCGCCGTCGCCGCCCCATCGCCGTCTGATCCTGCGCCACTTTTGCATTACTTCGCATGGTGTTGCATTGCGTTGCATTGATCCGCATTGTTCTCTTTGCCCTCGACCGGGGAGCTCAGGAGAGCCTTCCCGCACATCACCAGCACAGTGGACGAAGACAACGACGACGACGACGACGACGACGACGACGACGACGGCAACGACGGCGGTGGCGGCGGCGGCTGCGACGACGACACGACGACGACACGACGACGACGACGACGACGCCGAAGACGATGACGACGACGGCGGCCGCGGCGACGACGGTGGCGGCGGTGGTCCCACAGCAGCACGAGCGCGTCGGCGGAGAGGAGGGCGTCGCGGGCCCCGGGCAGCAGAGCGCTGCCCCTGCGCTGTGGGCGAGGGCAGGAGGAGGATGAGTTCGGGCAGAGCTTAGCGAGGAGATGTCACTGGAGTAGGTGCATCCTCCTTTTTCCCACGAAAACCATTCCATCAACATGGTGTTCTCTCACACGCGAGCCCTTCGCATCGAGAGCGAAGTGAGAAGAGATCGCGATGCAAATCCGCAGCCCCAATTGAAGGGGGGGAAGGTTGATGCTGCACAAGTTGGTATTCCTCACTGGAGTAGGTGCATCCACCACCGTGCCGCGAGGCACGAGTTGGAGTGCCTTCGGGTCCCCTGTAGTCCTCAGCCCTCAGTCCTCAGGATTGGATATTACTCAGGGCAACGATAGGGGGGGACTGGTTCAGGGCGGGCAAACATCGACCTGGACTCGGCGATACAGCGCCGATAGATCGGCGATACGACCCCGATAGCGAATCCGAACGTTCCTGGGCGGAGTGGAGCTATCAGACTCCTATCGGCGATCAATGGGCGATTTGGGGTCGACGTTGCCCCTAAAGCATAAGGCCCAGACCCCAAATCCTCAAATGTTCTAGGAGTCCCCTGCCTCCCGCCGTTCCCCGGCGCCTCCCGCAGGATCTGTTCGCAGCCACGAGCGCCCCCAAACAAAACGGGCAACGATGGGCGCCGAGGTGCCTCCGCTCTGCAGCCCAGGCGCGCTGGCGGGATGGGCCGAAGGCCAATCGATCTGCCGCCCTGTGTGGTTTGCCACAGGGGTGCACGGCGTGCCAGCCTTGGGAGATAGTCGCGCTCTTTGAAGAAACTCTCCGTGGGGTCCCGGCCGATCGCGCTGGCCAACCGGGAAAAGCGCACTCCATTGGACGTTCCGCCCCACGAGGGCCCGTATAGACTTCCCAGGTCGTCGGCATTCCCGCTCCAGACGGCCCAGAAGGAGGCCTCCAAGAGGACCTCCAGGAAAGCCCGAAGAGGCCAAAATCATTGAATGTCCTTCGACGTTTGAAGAAAGCTGGCGTGTGCCCATTTTCGGCTTCCCGTAAGCCCAAGACGGCCGCACAGGCAACTTCGATGTCCCCAAAAGCGCCCGCCCAAAAGGCCTCCGAGACGGCCCCTGAGGTCCAGACATGTCAGAGAGCACCAAAAGGAGCCTCCAAAGGCTCCTATGAGGCCCAAGGAAGCTCCCAAGAGGCCTCCAAGAGGCTCCCAGGAAGCTCCCAGGGAAGCTCCCAGGAGGACCCAAGAGTCTCCCAAAAGGCCTCCTCCTCCTCCTCTTCCTCCTCCTCCTCCTCCTCCTCCTGCTCCTGCTCCTGCTCCTCCTCCTCCTGCTCCTCCTCCTCCTCCTCCTCTCCTCCTCCTCCTCCTCCTCCTCCTCCTCCTCTCCTCTCCTCCTCCTCCTCCTCCTCCTCCTCCTCCTCCTTCTCCTCCTCCTCCTCCTCCCTCCTCCTCCTCCTCCTCCTCCTCCTCCTCCTCCTCCTGCTCCACAATTACTCAATATGAATACTACTCTCCCTCTTCCCCTGATGACGTCTTGGGAATAATCGCCCCCCCCCCCCCCCGCATACTGTTTTTTACACACAGGTTTCCCCGGAGTTGGGTTTTCGCTTGCATTTTTTCCAAAATGCTGCTCTCGCTGAGGCGCCGGCCACTTTTTCGGGCCCCGCTCGTTCCGAATCGTGCTCCCGCTGCAGCGCTGGCATCATTTCCGCCGGCGCCTGAGCTGCACGCCCGAACCGGCGCCCGGGCCGGCGCCCGGGCCGGGTCCGGAGCCGGTTCCGGCCGGCGCCGGAAAATCGAGTTCCGCGGCGGGGCGGAAAAAGGCCATTCTAATACACATTTTTCTTTTGAACATGCTGAATTTCTGCTTCTGGCGCCCAGGAAGCCTTCCCCCGAGTCAGGTTTTCGCTGGCATTTTTTCCCGAAATGCTGCTCTCGCTGAGGCGCCGGCCTCATTTTCGGGCCCCGCTCGTTCCGAATCGTGCTCTCGCTGCAGCGCTGGCCTCATTTCCGTGCTTCCCGGGCCGATTCCGGCGTGCTTCCGCTCGTTCCGAATCGTGCTCCCGCTGCAGCGCTGGCCTCATTTCCGCGCTTCCGCTCGTTTCGACTCGTGCTCCCGCTGCAGCGCGGGCGTCATGTCCCGTGCCATGCCACGGCATGCAATGCAATGCTAGGTTGATACTACGCTTCGCGGTGCTCTTCTACGCCATGCCATGCCGTGCTCTACAATGCATCGCGTACCCTTTCGGGATCATCGCCCTGCTTGACATCCGACTGTGCAAGTAGAGAGGGGATCTGCGCCATGGTAAGGGATGGGAGGGAGGGGTAGGATGTCAGATATGACGCGAGCGCACCTAGCTTGTCCTACCCCCTCTCCTGGTTCCTCCCTCTCGTTATTTTCTTCGTTCTCCCCCACAAGTGTCCCGAAGGATTCCACAAGAGCTGGGGGAACCCATAGTCCAATAGCGCTGCCGAGCTCTGGCCGCAACGTTCGACCACAGAAGCGATTCCAGAAAGGCAGGGGGCGGCGGTGATTCGCCGCAGGCGCCTTCGACCCGCCGCCCCCTGTTGGCTTGCCACACGGCGTACCGAACTTCTGAGATGTTCTGGTTTCGTTTTTTAGCTTCCCAAACATACACTTCGCCGGTATTCCGCCCCATACGGACCCGTAAACTTCCCAGGTCGTCAACCTTCCCGCTCTAGACGGCCCAGACATGGCCTCCGAGCTGGCCAAGATGGTCTCCAAGACGGCTACGCGTGAGGCCCCCAAGTTGACCCTCAGAGGCCCCCCAAGATGGCTGGGGGCACCTTTTTGCTTGTGCATTCTGATTGCGAGGCCGCTTTCAGGCACCAGCTGGAGCGGATCACATCCCGTAATGACGTCCGTGTGAACAATATTATGAGTGCCTTGGGCAGCAAGCGCCGCCTGCCTCTAGCGGCTAGATGCTGTGTTCTGGGGTCGAGTCTCGGGACCTAGACGGGCTTCGCACGACGGCCCCCCGTCGTCGGTGCCATCCTGGAGCCTTGTGCGTGGCCACATGTGGCATGCCAAGAAGCTGCTCGCGCTCGCTAACTTCTGCACTTTTAGCCCCTGAGGGTCTCATGTGTGAACTGGCCCAAGCCAGCTTTGGGACATAATGTGGGTTTTTGACGGAGTTCAGAACTGCCGTGCGCAGCTTACCTGTATATGTATGTATGCTCGTGGCGCCCGTCAAGCTTCTCTGTCGTCAGGTTCGGCGGCGCTGAGCCTGCCAGGGTATGTTACACAGACAAGTTAGCCGCTAGAAGAAGTATCGTCTCGTCATGGGTATGAGTGTCACGAAAATGACGTGCTGAAGTTTTCAGGTGTCGGGCCCCATCATACATTCCCTTCCGCGTCCAGGACACACGTCTTCTGTGTCCTTAAACTTATGTGCTCAAGCCTCGCTTTTTTCTCTGGCACCCTTGGTACGTTTTTTGGGGGGGGGCAGAGTTTAGAATTGCCGTGCACAGCCAGTAACGCCCTCAGACGGCCAAGGAGCCTCCAGAGGAGCCTCCAAAGGCCCCTAAGAGGCCCAAGGAGGCCCCCAAGAGGCCTCCAAGAGGCTCTCGGGAAGCTCCCAGGGAAGCTCCCAGGAGGCCCCAAGAGTCTCCCCAAAGGCCTCATTCTCCTTCTCCCCTCCTCCTCCTCCTCCTCCTCCTCCTCCTCCTCCTCCTCCTCCTCCTCCTCCTCCTCCTCCTCCTCCTCCCTCTCCTCCTCTTCTTCTTTGTCCCCCACGTGCTCCCCAAAGGATTTCCACAACGGCTGGGGAAACTCATAGCCCGATAGCTTGGCAGAGCTCTGGCCGAAACGTTCGGCCACATAGGCGAATCCAAAAAGGCAAGGGGCGGCGGTGATTCGCTGTAGGCGTCATCGATCCGCCGCCCCTTACTCGCCACAGGGGCGCACGGTGCTCCCGATGGGTCTCGGCCGATCGCACCGACCACCCAGAAATTTCAAACGCAGAAATCGCACCCGACGACCCAGAAATTTCTCCAAGGCGGCCCCAAGATGGCGTCCAAGAGAGCCAAGGTGGCCTCCAAGACGGCCAAGATGGCCCCACGAGAGCACAAGATGCCCTCCAGACGGCCCAAGAGGACCCCCCGGGGCCCCAAGAGGGCGTTTGGAGGACCTCCAGAGGCCAACGCCGCTGATGTCCCATAAGACGTTCAATAAGTTTAGCGTTCTCGCTTATTCGGGCTTCCGACGCTGAAAGACGGCCCCATAGGCCCCCACGGTCGCCCCAGGACGGCCTAAGAGGCCCCATGAGAAGCCCAAAAGACGGCCCACGATGGCCCCAAGACGGCCCAAGAGGCCCCCCAAATGGCTCCAAGACTACCCTATCTAACTCTCCGAGGGCCCTACAGCACCAAAAGAGGGACCCACAACTGCCCAGAGAGTGCCCCGAGACGGCCTCCACAGGCCAGTAGGTACCTTTAGTGGAGGCACCCAGCGGCTCCCAAGAGACCCCGAAGAGACCCCTCAGTGGCCCCCGAGAGGCTCCCAGGAAGCCCCCAGGAAGCCGACGGCCTCCAGAGGCCTCCTCTTCTTCTTGGTATGTTTCTTCTTCTCACTTCTATTCCTCCTCCTCCTCCTCCTCCTCCTCCTCCTCCTCCTCCTTCTCCTACTCCTTCTCCTCCTCCTTTCTCTTCCTCTCCCCAGTGTTCTCTCAAGGGGTTCAACGACGGCTGGAGAACACGAAGTCCGATAGCTTGGCCAGACGTTGGCCCTAACGTTTGGCTACATAGGCGGTTCAAAAAAGCCGGCGGCGGCGGTGATTCGCCGTAGGCGTCTTCGATACATGAAGAGTTCAAGAGTTCTTGCTACAACAAACCTAGGGGCACGATGTTCGGTCGGCCTTGGACCTCGCAGGGTGCCTCCAGAACTCCAACAGATGTCCAAGGACCTCGAGGAATCAGAGATGTCTGTGGGGCTCCTGTGCTCTTGTGGGCAGACCAATATCTCATGTGGCGTGCCTGACGCACGATGTAGCTATGTCGGAGACGCACCCCCGACTGACTGAAACGTATAACACGAAAAACCTCGTGGCCCATCGCTACCCTGAGGTCGGGCATGTCCCCCTACAGGGGGACTTTGGACGAAAAATCAAACATACCCCAAACAGGGTCCAACATAGCAACAAAAATGCGAACAAAGCGTCCCCAGACTATGTTTTGACTATGTTTGCACATTCCTCCTGTGGAAGGACAGGCCCGACTCGAGGCTACCCGAAACCGACATGTCCAGAACGCGCCAGCGACGGAGCAGGTCCTGCAAGAGCTCCGAGCGTGCGCGTCGCCCCCGCGGGGCCGACGCACGCAGGGCACAGAGCTGCCGGGAGTGGTGCCGACTGGTCCGGGCGTCTCCGAGAGCCGTCGGGTCTGGAGAGCCTGCGCCGAGGGCCGCGGCCGTTCCGGAGCGCCCGGGGACGCGCTGGGAGCTGGGAGCGGTCCAGGGAGCCCTGGAGCGGCTCCTCCTCATCTGGGGCCCGCCTGACCCGCCCTGTCCCTCCGCCATCCATGCCACGAAGTGGTGTTTGACCGTCGCCTCCGCACCCCGAGACGGGTCCAACGCAGATGTTTCAGAGGAGGAGGCGGAGGAGGAGAAGTAGGACAATGAGGAGAAGGAGGGGGTGGGAGACGAGGTAAAGGAGGAGGGGGAGGCTCTGGTGGGGAGTGGGGTGTGGCGCTTCTGGAGGCCTTTCGTGGACGCAGCGCGACAAACTGGCCAGGACGGGCCTGGGAGGAGTCCGACGGCGGCGTCGCCGTCCGTCGTCTGAAGAACGAGCCGAGCAGCTGAACACCGAACCTACGCTGGGAGAGAACTCGTTGCAGCGGGGACCCACATCCGACATCTTACACCAGTAGCCCTGGCGAAACTTTAGGACGACAGCTGCTACACAGCGACAAGTGTTGGGCTACACCAGTCGTGGGCCCAGGATCGGTGTCTGCGTCGTCCTGGCATAGCCAGGGCGGCGTATACGCCCATAGTGGGGCCGAGGTGGAACTGGCAAGGGTCGGTGCCAGTGTATAGATTTCGTTGTTCGAAGTACTGTCGGTGTCGCTTTCTTTTTTTTCTGCGCGTCCCGCCTCGGCACTGTGATTACTAGCGTGGCACGGCGCGGAAAGAGGCCAGCGTGGATCGAATGACCCCGGGGTGGCGTGGCGTCCACTCTAGGCAGCCCGCATGGCTCCGACCTGGGCCCAAGTCGGTGTCGTTTTCGTTTTAGGACTGGTATTGGTGTAGGATTTGGAATTCAGGGTTCTCGGAGGCATATGGGGTCGAGGGCTAGCTGCCAGCTCCTGGCCGTCGCCCACCGAGGACACGGACTATTCCGTTCCTCTTTGGGCCTCTGGAGGCCTTCTGGGACCTCCCCCCTGACGTCCAGAGACCTCCGTTTTCGACCAAGGACCGCCCGTTACGCATCGGTTACGCATCAGCCCTCGGCAGCCCTCAGCGGCAATGGGCGATCCCCTTGTGCACGTGAGCTGGGCGGCTGCATTTGACACGGGCGCCGTGACCCAGCACCTGAGAACTCGTGGCGAGCCCCCCGTCCCTCTGAGCCTGTCGATGTCCACGAGCCGGTACCGCACCCTCGCCGTGTAGTACCTGTTCTCGAGCTGGGCCTGGGGGCACCACGCCAGCCGGGGCCGCTGGTTCCTCCTCTCGCCTCCATCTCTTGCTCCGCAGAGACGCCTCCTCCTCCTCGTCCTCCTCCTCGTCCTCCTCCTCCTCCTCCTCCTCCTCCTCCTTCTCCTCCTCCTCCTCCTCCTCCTCTGAAGCCCTGGAGGCCTCCCAATGCATCGTCGCCGTCGGCGTGGAAGGCACCGCGCTTCACATCGAGCCGCATCGCCGATGCATCGGCGATGTGGTGCGCTCCTCCGACCGCACCTGCTCGGACCCCGTGTGGAAGGCCCAGACCCTCGACCCTCGCCAGAGCTGCAGGGATTGATGATGATGGTGGTGGTGATGATGATGCTGCTGCTGCTAATGATGATGATGATGATGATGATGATGATGATGATGATGATGATGATGAAGATGAAGATGAAGATGAAGATGAAAACGAAGATGAAGATGAAGATGAAGATGAAGATGATGATGAAGATGATGAAGATGATGAAGATGAAGATGATGATGATGATGATGATGATGATGATGATGATGATGATGATGATGATGATGATGATGATGCTGATGATGATGATGATGTTGATGATGATGATGAGAGGGAGGAGGAGGAGGAGGAGGAGGAGGAGGAGGAGGAGGAGGAGGAGGAAGATGTGGAGGAGAAGGAGGAGGAGGAGGAGGAGGAAGAGGACGAGGAAGAGCAAGAGGACGAAGAGGACGAGGAGGAGACGAGGAGGAGGAGGACGAGGAGGAGGAGGAAGGGGACGAGCAAGAGGAGGAACATCGAGTCGACGAAGGTCTGGGTCTCTTTCGGAAGTTTTTTTAATGTTCGTCGTCGTCGTGGTCGCCGCCACCGCCGTCGTCGTCGTCGTCGCCGTCGCAGTCATCGTCGTCGTCGTCGTCGTCCTCCTCCTCCTCCTTCAGAGTCGGCTGCAGCAGCCGCAATGCCTTTGCAATATAAGGTCGTCGGAGGTCTGGGTCCCCAGACATCCGGCGCCTCGGGAAGTCGAGGCGGTCGGTTTGTCGCCGCTCGCTACAAGCAGGGGGCCAGCGTCGGGCCTCGGAGCCGTTGCAGCAATAACGGCTTGCAAAGAGAAAAGGGCCCCAGGCATCGAAGAAAGCGGAGCGCGAGATGTCGGGGCCCTCATCCCGCGTCTCTTCAGCCTGGTCATGGTCGTCACCACCATTATCGTCATGATCCATCGGGGACGCGTCAACCCGAGTCAGCGCAAACCCAGGTCATCTGGGGCCGTGTCGCGAACACCGGCCGGCCGCCAAGTAGCTTCCAAACCAGGGTCAGCGGAAGGCGGAAACGGGGAGGTCGGTCCCTGCGTGGCTCCCAAGCCAGAGTCAGCCAGAGAACATTGGCTGAACACTGTCAGCGCTGACCTCTGTTACGATAGCCGTTTTCTGGAAGTCTCGGCGCCAAGCGAGGGCCCCCAAAGGACCAAAACGGCGAACACACATTCGTATTGAGTTTGCTTCCAGAAGTTGGAAATGCGAGACAATCACCAATATCATCCCATCATCATTGTCCACGTCCTCATCATCATCACCACCATCATCATCATCAGCAGCATCATCATTATCACCATCCTTATCGTCATAACTATCGTCGTCATCATAATCATGAGTATGATCATCACTATCACCATCACCATCATCATCATCATCATCATCATCATCATCATCATCATCACCAAACCATCACCATCGTCATCATCATCAACATTATCGTCATCGTCATCGTCATCGTCATCGTCGTCATCATCACCCTCGTCGTCGTCAGCGTCGTCATCCTTGGTACCATCGTCCTCGTGGTCGTCATCATAATCATCATCACCATCACCAGCAGCAACGTAATCAACATGTTCACACTTCTCATCATCACCCACACTCCTACCATCATCATGATTATCATCAGCCTCGCCATCGTCATCATCATCCAGTGCGCCGAAGGAGGGAAGGGGCGGAGTCATCATTGCCCGGGGGATGTGCGCGGAAGCGAGTGGACAAGGGGGCGTGATGAAAGAAGGAGAGTGGGGGAGCATAAAACACTGGGAGACATATGTCCGGCGCCATGGTACCCACACACCCCTAGTCTCAACCCCCCGCATGGACGCCGCCCCGACATGATCATCATACATGTTTGCACACCTTCTGGTAACGCCATGGTCGGTCGCTCGTTACTGTCATCATCCCCATCATCATCCTCATACTCATTCCGATCCTCGTCATCGTCATCATCATCCTCACCGTCATCAGCATCATCATCATCATCATCGTCATCATCATCATCATCATCATCATCATCATCTTCATCATCATCACCGTCATCATCATCACTATCCTCGTCAACATTGTCACCATAAGATCAAACATAATGATAGTCAGCATCGTCGTCGTCATCATCAACCTCATCACAATCACCATCTGCAGCATGATCTTCATCTCCATTTTAATGTTCATCAGCGTCGTCGTCATCGTCGTTGACATCGCCATCGTCATCGTCATCGTCATCACTCAAACCATCACCAGCACCATCACCATCACACCATCATCATCGTCGTCATCGTCATTGTAATCCTCATCATGGTCGCCATCATCAACTCATCATCATCAGAGGCTCGCGGCGGCGCTGAAAGCGAGGCAGGGTGGGCTGCAACAAGCTCCGCGCTGAGCGTTGGCGCGTCATGGAGCGCCGACGCCGGGGCGGCTGCCCGGCGCTCAGGGGGCTGTCGCTTCGCCTCGTCCTGCTCGTTTTACTTTTTGACCAGGCTTTGAGCACCGACGCTTGGCAGCCGTCGCGAGGGAATTGAACCGACGTAGGCTCGGTGGCCTACAAGCTCGAACTAGGTGAGCGCAGCAAGAAGAAAGCCAAGCAAAGTGAGAACAACGGAATCAATATAGAGTATCATAGAGTATGTGCGCACCCAAAGCGATGGTACCCCCGTCTTCGTCCGCTTTCCTCGCCCCGTGGAAAAAAATGCCGACGACCAATTCTGGCCCACCCTCGGCCGTTTGGGCCCCCCACCTGGCCCCTGGACCGACAGACAAAAAAAACGACGGTGGAGACCCACACGATAACCAACCAAGCAGTAGTACGGAAGTAAACCTCATCGTCGTCCTGATGAGCGCAGAACCTCAATTCCCATCTCCTCATGGCCCTTTTCCTTCTCGCCCTGGCGGAAGCCCTCTTCCCGCCCCCTGCTCTGTCTCCTCTTCGTCCTCCTGCTTCTCCTCCCCCATCCAATTCCTACCCCGCCCCTCCAGCAAGGGCACGCAAATCGATATCCCTTGGCGCCGCTGCCACGCGGCCAGCATGGGCGCCTTCTCCGCTGGCCAGATCGCGAGGCAGGCAGGGCAACCCCGCGGGCCAAGCCGTTGGCATAACCCCGCGGGCCCTGGGGCGCGGGAGTAAACCGTGGGGACAACCCCGCAGGTCTCAAGCTACTCGCGGCCGCGCTCATGCGTGAGGACAAGCAGAGCCCAGCTTCGCCGCGAGCTGCTCCGTCTCAGCACTGGAGACCCCCGCTCTTTCGCCGAGCTCCCTAATTGACCGCCTTCCGCAGGGAGGCCTGCGGCCCGCGATCTAGGAACTCTCGCGTGGGCGGCCGCACGATCAGCATGTTCCGCACGCACGTGGCGCGATAGAATGACGTAGAAGTGCAACCGCCACTGCCCTTCCGAGATGCCGGCGCGACCATCGTCCTCATCCCTGGAGCAGTCGAGGGTGACGCCCTTGCGCAACGTCTGCCCTGCGACAGCGTGGAGTTCAGGTCGGGCGCGTACGCCAGGGTGAACCCCGAGCGGCGCACGACGTTCGGCCCCGAGCTCTGCCACGTGAGCTGCCGCTCGCTGGGCCTGAACATGAACGAGCTCCTCGCCTGCGCCTCGGCCTCGCCGTTGTCGTCAGCGCCGCAGGCTCCCTGTAGCAAGTCGCCGGCCGTTTTAGTACGACGTCCTGCTCTTGACAACCAGTCGGCCTTTGCCCCTGTCACCCATAACTCCCGGAAACGTGGACGTCAAAACTGTGCCCGTCGAAACCCCATAAGGAGAAATTCCCGATGAAGACTTCCTCGCGATTCTTGCACAAACGAGCCGCTTGGCTCGAATTCGAGACGTCCTTGCCATGCAGTGCGACGACATTTACATAATCCCCATGACCCGCTCGGACTACGAACGCAAGCTGCGGGCCCAAGAAAGAGGATATTCCTGCTTGGGAACTCCTCGCTCTTCACACACAAACTTCCTCGCACTTTACTCACAAGCAAGGCTCCCGCCCGTGACCTCCTCCCAAAAAATTGGAACGGCCGAGTGAAAGAACACTTACAGGATCCCGATGGCCCGCTCGGATTAATAACATCATCTGCGGGCCCCAGCGGGAGGGGGGCCCTCGCATGCGAATTCCTCGCAATCCACCCACAAGCGAGGCTCCCGCTCGAGACTTTTGCAGTCTCGACCTTGAACTAGCCAGAAGTGGCAACACTTGCAAGATCCCGATGACAGGCTCGAATTGGTAACATGTGTTGTGGGCCCCACAAGGCAGGGGCTTTCGTCTGAGATGTCCTCGCAATTCACTTACAAACGAAGCTCCCGCCCGCGACTTCCTCCGCAGACATTAGAGCAATCGCAGGATCCCGACGACCCGCTCGGATTATCAAGATCAGCTGCTCCCGCCAGATAACTCCTCCAAACTCAAACTTGAAAAGTCCTCATGGGACGCCAGCTACAGGATTCCGATGGCCCGCTCGGATTAATGGATTAATCACATGTGTTTTGGGCGCCATGGTTAGGAAAGGGGCTCCCACCTTAGACTTCCTCGCGCTTCGCTCACGAACGAGGCTCCCGCTCGAAGCCTCCCCATGATGGGATGATGACGACTGAGGATCATGGTGGGGTACTCGTCGCGATGGTGATGAGTGGTGTTTATATATATATATATATATATATATGTATATAAAAAGTGATATAAATATATAGAGAGAGACAGGGACAGAGAGAGCGTGTGGTGGTAGCGGTGATGATGTTGATATTGAAAAAGATGTTGATGTTGATGTTGGAGAGAACACGTTTCACGGGCGCTTGCCTTAAGAACATTCGGCGGCGCGTTTCGCACCGGGGGGTGGGCACCCCCCCGCAACACTCGGCGCCGTCGATCAGAACCAGGGGGACTCCCTTCTCCCCTGACCCCCCCCCCTCCCGAACCCACCCCGTCCCAGTGGGCGTAAGGGGGTTGCAACCGTTCCCCCATAGCGCCGGCGCCGGCGCCGGCGCTAGCGGCCGCCAACAGCGCCGACGGCGGGGACGCAGCGACGATGACCAGAAGCAGCCCAAGGGAAAGGGGTGGGGTTCAAACAATTCACCTTTGTTTCACCCGAATCTAATTTCATCCGTTTCATTTCATCCGTGTCATTTCATCCAATGTAATTTCATCCGGTATCAATTCGCCCGGCTTTAAATTCATCCGGTTTAAATTCGTCCGGTTTAAATTCATATGGATGTTATTTTCTTTGTGTGCCTTTGAGTGGCTCGCGTTGTTTATTTGGTCCTTTCAAACTTCTCCTGTTTGAAATCTCGTCTGGTTTGTATTCGTCCTGTTTAAATTCATCCAGTTTTACCTCAGCCGTTACATTCATCTGGTTTTAACTCGTCCGGTGTAGATTCATCCGGTTTTAATTCCGTCCGGTTGGTTCCACTTCGTCCGGTTTAAGTTCATCCAGTTGAATTCGCCCGGTTTAAATTCATCCCGTTTCTAAATCTCGTCCAATTTGAATTCGCCCGGTTTAAATTCATCCCGTTTTAATTCGCCTGGTGTAAAATTCTCCCAGAAGGCGCCCCGTGTAGGAAACTGCGTGTGCGCCGGAACGCAGGAGCTGGAGTCTGAATGACGGGCGCTGGATTCTGAAAGCTGGCAGCTGGAAGTGGGAAACTGAGACACGGAGCCAGAGAGACGGGCGTCGGAGTCGGAAAATTTTGAGCCGAACTCGGAGAGACGGGAACTGGGATCGGAAAGTTCGGTATCGGAGTCGAACAAAGAGGAGACTGAGTTGGAGAGTTGGGAGCCGGAGTCGGAGAGATGGGAGCTGGAATCGGTTGGGAATCGGGGAGTCGGGGGGATGGGCGTCGGAGTCGGAAAGTTGGGAGTTGAACTCGGAGAGATGGGAGTTGGGGTCGGAAAGTTGGGTGTCGGAGTCGACAAAATTAGGAGACTGAGTCGGAGAGATGGGAACAGGAAACGGAGAGATGGGAGCTGGAACCGGTTGGGAGCCGGAGTCGGGGAGACGCGCCAGAGACGGAAAGTTCGAAATTGGAGTCAGAAAATTATGAGCGGAGGATGGGAAATGGGGAATTGGAAATCATTAGGAGTACCACAATAAGCGCCATGTTGAACGACGGGAGCGCAGCGCCGATCCGAGAAGAAGGCCCACGCTGTAGCGGCAACACCATTTTGAAACGCTGGAAACAATCGGATTGCACAACAGCGCGTAAAACAACAATCATTGTTGACATCCTCAAAGTAAAACACACTTGGCGGGGTGGGAGATCTTCCGCAAAACTTCGGTGGAGGAAGGAGAATAGCACCCATATGGTCTGACTGTGAAGGGAGGAGAGAGGAGGAGGAACAACCAGAAAAGGAAGAGAAGGAGGAGGATGGGGAGCAGAGCGAGCACAAAGGCCAAAGACCTCGTGGCTGATCAAGTCCTGAATTTAAGCCGGGCGAATGAGAACCGGATGAATTCAAACAGGTGCGCGTGACAAGTGTTTCAAGCAATTGCGTTGCTCAATAACTGTTTTCGTTTTCTTTGGTCAAGTAGTTGTTGCGCTTTACCAAATTTCCGAGTCCAGCTCCCATTTCTCCGAGCCCAGCTCCCAATTTGCCGACTCCGACGCCCGTCTCTCCGACTCTGTCTCTCAATTTCCCGACTCTGGCTGCCAACTTTCAGAATCCAGCGCCCGTCACTTCGACTTCAGCTCCCACGTTCCCGACTCCAGCTCCCTACTTTCCGACTTCGGCCGAGTTCCGAGTTCAGAACTGCGGCGCCCTGGCGCACCAGCCGTTCCTTACACGGGACGTTCTCTGGGCGACATCGGCGCCGCTCCGCTCCGCTCCGCTCCGGTCGGCTCTCCCCTGGTCCTCCTGTTCGTCCCGTTCCTTCCACCCCAGTTCCTGCTGCTGCTGCTTCTCGTCTCGCTTCAGCGCGGGCCACGTTTCTCAATCCGAATTGTCTTCATCATTGTGGCTCCCCTCATTTCCCCTCCTCCGCCTTTCCCTGGTCCTCTTATTCCTCTCCATCCTTCCGCTTTTGTTCCTGCTGCTGCTGTTTGTCATCATCCTCCTTGTCCCGGTCATCCTCCCGGCCACCTGACGCACAACACGGATATTCCCGGATAGGGCGCGGGCCCAGGGCTCTTTTTTAGTATTGTTTTGTTTCCCCCCGGTCTCGGCCGGTTAAATTATTTGCGATAGATAATGAGGCAAAGCCCCATTCGGCGTGGACAATTTGAGGGTGTCCCTAGCGAGACGATGGTTTTTGAAATCCCGATCGATAAATCACAGGGTGCGGGACACATTTGGGTCAGGGGCACGAATCCGTGTGTTTTTACACGTGTTCCTATAGATTGGCCTCTCCAGGAGGCCCTAGGAGGTCCCAGGTCACCCAGTCGGGGGGACCGGCTGAAGGGGGGAAACACCGACCTGGAATTGGCGAAACATCGCCGATAGGTCGGCGAGAGGCCCCGGATAGCGAATCCGCACGTTTTGGGGCAGGAAGGCGCCACCAGGCCCCCTTTTTCGGCGATCAATGGGCGATTGAGGATCGATTCGTCGCCCCCTGAACACATGCCCCCTGGCGCAGCGGCCGTTCGGGACGATCCGAGCAGCGCAAGAACGCCCCGGGCGAGGCGCAGCCGCTGAAGGCAGCCCGAGGCTGGAAAGCCGCCGAGGACCACCAAGAATGTCAGAAAACCTCAGACCTCGAACCTCGTCCTGCCGTAGCGTTTTCCTTGTTCCTCGCCCAAAACCCACTCGTGCCACCCTAGCCTCGCAAATCAACAGGTCGCCAGGCAAACGGGGAACACCGCACAAGCCGACCTGCAATAAGCGAAGTCATGCAATGAGCCGTGGCCTGAACAACTATCCGACAATGAAGTAGCGACAGGAAGAGGAGATTGAGGATCAGGGTTGAGTCGGGCGTGTCCCCCTACAGGCGGCTTCGGGAGAAAAATTAACAATACCCTGAACATATCCAAAAATAGTCCAGCTAACACCCACAAAATCATCCCCCGACTTGTTTTGACTATTCTTGAATATTCCTCCTGCAGAGGAACGTGCCCGACTTACGATCAGGGAGACAAGACTCGTCCCCCCCTGACGTTGCCCCCGAGCGGCGGGGGAGCGCGCCGCCTCCACCCCGTCAGCGGCGCCCCGCTCGAGCTCCTCCTCGTCGCGGTCGGCCAGCGCGGCCAACAGGCGGCGCTGGCCTCCGCCCCCAGGCGGCCCCACGCGCGTGCGCCGCTGCCGCCGCGAGTCGTCTGCGTCGTCGTCGTTGCCGTCGTCATCGCGCGGGCGTGGGCTGACCCAGCTCGGCGCAGAGCCGGCTCAACCCATGCAGAAGCACCACGCTGCAATCTTGTGGGGGCGGCCCCCAGCCCCCAGCTCAGCCAATGTTCATGGCTGCCCCGCTCGGCCAAAGTCCTGCTTTGGAGGATCCAGCAGGATCTGGCGCTCTGGCTGAGCCCTGTTTGCGCCGAACCCCGTTACCTGTCGGCTGAGTCGCCGTCGTCCCCAGACCTCCGGCAATCTACCGCTTCGAGACGCAGCGCCCCTCCCCCGTGGCCGAGCCTCCGTGGGCCGCGTCTGGGACCTCAGTGCCACGACGAGCGGCTCTGGGGCTCAAAGGGGTCGGAAGGTCGGGGGGGCGCCGGTTGAAGAATTCAGATCGTCGGCTGACGCCGTCGCCGGCATCGGCGCGCTGTCGGCGTCGTCGGCCAGCATCGTCTGCATCGGCGGCGAGCCGCCGTGGCCGCTGTGGTCGTCGTCGTCGTCGTCCTCCTCCTCCTCCTGCTCGTCCTCGTCGTCGCTGTTGTTGTTGTCGTCGTCATCGTCGCCGTCGTCGGCGGAGGAGGAGGAGGAGCGACAGCGGAGGAGGAGGGAGCGACAGGGAGGGCAGGGAGGGCAAGCGGCCGCCCATCCTCTCTCCAGTGGCGCCCGCCACGCGAATCCAGACCCGGACCTCCGACGATCTGATCTGGGACAACTATATTCGCGCTTCGCGCTCCGCGAAGCGCGATGATCTTCGCGCTTTCGCGCCCCCCCCCAACCCCCCCCCTGGAACAAGATGAGGGACTCGCGCCTCGCTCTGAAATCGCTCAGACCGCGAAGCGAGACTAAACTCGTGGTGGCCCTAGTCTGATTCTGTTCACCCGCGGCGCTCTTCCTTCATTGAGGCCTCTGGGGCTCGTTTGGTAAGGCTTCGGGTTGCGCAAGCACCCAAATGTAGTCCCAGCTGGCCTCAACGGGCTCTCCGAGTAGTCCCAGCTGGCCTCAAGAGTCCTCCCGAGTAGTCTGGGGTGGGGGCTCTTCCTGTGTCTCCGTCGTCCGTCCAGTCAAATCGGACGGCGATTCGTGTTTCAGTTTGTCTTGGGTTGCTTTGACTGTCCTGAGTTACCTTGGCTAGTCCTGGTTTGTCCTGGTTTGTCTTGATTTGCCTCGGTGAAGATGATGATGATGATGACGACGACGACGACGATGATGATGATGATGATGATGATGATGATGATGATGATGATGATGATGATGATGATGATGATGGTGGCGAAACGTTCTGGTGATGCAGATTATGTTGGGGACGATTATGCTGATTTCGGTGATGAGGGCGATGATAGCAATGGTGATGATCATGGTGATGATCATGGTGATGATCATGGTGATGAGGACGACCGTGCGACCCTTAGATAGCCCTCGACTCTCAGGAGGCCTCCCAAGAGGAGGAGGAGGAGGAGGAGGAGGAGGAGGAGGAACCAAAGGCTAGGCCTAAGGGGAGTGCGAGTCGAAGTTCCCAGGATCGGGTGTCGAGGACAACTGGTCTTCGCTGGGGTTCGATGCTGAAGTCGGTGCTTGCGGCTGAAATGGTGGCGCCAGTGCTGGAGGCCGTGCTGGCGATTGTGCTGGCGTCGGTGATGGCGACCCTGCTGGACGCGTCGGTGATGCGTCGGTGCTTGCGGCTGTGCTGGCGGCGGCACGTGCGCCATGAATGCGTACATGAGGTAAAAGGAAAGCGCGCGATTGGAGGCCTGACCTGCCAGAAGCCTGGACTGGCCCGACCTCAACCCTGCGGCATGCCCAAAGGCCACATATAGGGCATTCCCGATGGGGCAAGGACGCGGGGGCAATCTGGGCGCATGCCAACGCTGTCGCCTGCACTGTCGCCCGGTTGTCTATGCCTGCCTGTGTCCGTCTGATTGTGCCTGTGCGTGCCTGGTTGTGTCTGTGTTTGTCTGGGTGTGTCTGTGTTTGTCTGTCTTTGCCCTGACTTGACCAGGTTTGCCCGCTTGCGTCTGGTTATGCCTGCGTCTGTCCTGGTTGGTCCTGATTTGTCTGCGTTTGCCGTGGTATGCATATGTTTGTCCTGCGTTGTCCTTGTTTGCTCCTGCTTGTCCTGGTGTGTCTGATATGTGTGTGTGTGTGTTCGTCCTGCGTTGTTCTGGTTTATCCTACGTTGTCCTAGTTTGTCCTGCCGCGCGCGTGTAAGCTGCTTGTCATGGAACGACTCTTGATAGACCTGGCGGGCACCCAGAGAGGAAGGTTAAGGAGAAGGGTAGAGGGAGGGGTGTGAGGGGGATGGGAGGAGGAGGAGGAGGAGGAGGAAGAAGAAGACGAAGAGGAAGAGGAGAAGGAGGAAACGGAGGAGGAGGAAGCCCCAGGCGCTCTTGGAAGCCATAGGCAACTGGGGAACGGAGCCCACCCGCAGCATTGCTTTATAACCAGCTCGGCGCCAGCGGCGGGCCGACCCACAAACATTGGCTCCCCCCTATAAAAGGAAGACCCCTATGGCGGGATAGCTGGCAGTGGCCTGGGAGAGTGCAATCGAAACGCTGTCATAAGGAACCCTTAGTAAGGAACGAGGCCCCTTTGGCCCATAAGTTAAACTTCGACTTACCATAAAAAACAAGGACCGCCTAAGACAAACTGCACAACAACTCAGGAACGCTGAGCCCCTCCCCAACGAAAAGGGTTCTTTCCTCGGCCGCCCGACGGTACACATACAGAGTTGAAGAGGTCGCGCGGTCTGTTCTTGGATCTGTGCTGGACATGCACGGTTTCCCACGGAGCCGTAGGCGACCCGAGGAGGAGGAGGAGGAGGAGGAGGAGGAGAAGGAGGAGGACTTTTTTGACTGCACTTGGCTCGTTGCAAGTAGCTTGAGCTGGGGAAGGAGGAGGAGAAGAGGAGGGGTAGGGGAAGGAGGAGATGGAGGAGGAGGAGGAGGAGGAGGAGGAGGGGGAGGAGGAGGAGGAGGAGGAGGAGGAGGAGGAGGAGGAGGAGGAGGAGGGAGGAGGAGGAGGAGGAGGACGAGGAGGAGGAGGAGGAGGACAGGTTTCTTAGGCCCTGCGGAGAAACTCTCCAGCTGGACCCCCCTCCCCGGAGCGCTCTCGGCCGACGGGCGCGGGTGGCCCGCATGGCATTATTTATCAGGGGTCGTGCCCCCCCCTCCCCCCCAGCAAGCGCGCAAGGGCGTTCGAATGATTTCGACATGCGCGCAAGGGCGTTCGAATGCCCGCACGCTCGCATCTGGTGAACGCGAGCGCAGACATGTGTTTGCAACATCATATTGCAAGACCGTTGGTGTTTAGGTGTTTGTACTCGTTTGGGATCCTCGATTGTGAAATCCTTGTGAAATCGACCAGGGTTTAGGCATACGCGCGCGACGCCATGCGCATGTGGACTTCGTCACATCTGTTTGATACATGAATCCGCGCGCATGAGATTATTTGCCAAGGATTGGAGGTTTGTCGAACCCGCTTTGGTTGGAATGGTACGGCTTTGGGTTCCAACGTGGGTCTGTTAATATAGAGAGGGTCATGAAACAAACGTTGCAACACATATTCTGCGCATCTGTGCATATGCGGTCTGGCAGATCGGGGCGGCATCATCGCGACGCCAACGGGCGTCGCGGACTCGAGCCTTTGGCCTGGAAGCACGAAGGGCACGATTACCCAGATCATGAAGTTCTGCAACCAGTCACTGTGCTCTGGGGGTGCGCGGACACGCAAAACACTGCTCAGCTAATCGTTAGCTGGCGCCCGCTTCGAACTCATGCCCCATCCCCCGCCTTTTCCAAATATCCCTTCGCTGCGGCCCCAACCTCCTCATGCCCCTCCGATTGCCCCGGTCCTCATCATGCCCTTCATCTACACTGCCCCCCCCATGTGTCAATTCACGTCGTTCCTCGTCGTCCTCCTGCGCCGGATTCGTTCCCCCATCGTCCACATGCCTGCCCTCCTCCCATCCTCTACGCCCTAGTGCACATCATGCCCCCAATTTCTGCCCTCCCCCACCTCCCTCGCCCTCGTGATGCTGACGCCGATGATGCAAATCCTCCTGGGCTCTCTTCCTCCGCTCTCGTCCAGCCCCGTTCATCCTTGGCCCCTCGGCCACCCCTCCTATCGAACCCCTTCCTTCCCACAGCCCACCATCCCCACCCCCCCGCGCCTTTGCATGCCCAGACCACGGCCCCCTCCTGGACCAGCCGGGAGACCCGCGGAAACTCCCGCCCAGTGACCACTCCAGCGAGAGGCGCGCAACAAATGCACAGTTGGAGACACGAACTGTGTATTTCGACCGCGCACGACGCCGCCCCTGGACCAGCCGGAAGAGAAACGCGAAAGTTCCCGTCCATTCAACACCACCCGCGAGGGGCACACTCCAAATACACAGATGGGAACGAGATCTGTGTACACAGGTCACACCACGATCTGTGTAAACAGCGGGCCCACACACGAAAATACACAGTTGAAGACACAAACTGTGTACACAGATCACACCTTGATCTGTGTATTTCGAAAAGGTGAACGCTCGCCACCTCGAGGGCGCCCCGACTTTGCCAACCCAGAACTGAGGTCGACATGCCCCGCTGGGGGGGGGGATGCAAATACACACTTCCCCGGCCCAGGGCGCCCCCGAAAAAACCGCAAATACACGCTTCCCTGGCCCAGGGCGGCCGCGGTGCAACGCGGCGCCAAAGCGGCCCCAAACGGCCCGAAGACGGCCCAAAACGCCTCGAAGGACCCCAAAGAATGCCGCGCAGCAGTCCGAAAACACGAGAGATGTCACATGTCAAGGACCTCTTAACAGTCAAAACTCCACGCGTCGCCATATAGATCACTGCTCTGGCAGGGGGGGCGGACCTTGCCGCAGGCACCTGTAATTTACATGTTAGCGATGCGACTGTGCTCGGCGGCCGTGCCGCCCGCATTTTGGGTGCGCCCCGAAATCTCGCATTGGCAATCCCCTCTGTTTGGTTGCGCCGCTGTGCTCGGATATCGAAAAAGCATTTACCGCTGACGCGGGCACGCGGCGCCAGGGACTTCACTTTTCGAACAAGGAGGGTGGGCGAGGTAGGACGACGGATGGTGGAGCAGGGAGGCAAAGAGGAACGAGGAATAATGAGGGAGGTGGGAAGGGGCTCTCCCCCGCCCGAGCCGCGGACGCTTTCGACACCATCCGGGGGAGGGGGGAAAGGAAGGGGAACGGAGCAAGGGCGAGGACGACGACGGGAAGCAAAGTGTCCTGGGTCCGCATATAGCCATATGTCTGCGATTCGGGTGCGCGCGCTTTCTTCGAGGCACTTCAAGCCGGACCCATACTGAATTCACGAATTCCTCAAAACTGTGTAAACACTCTGTCCTCTGTTCCCTCTCCTATACAACGGCCTCATAACAGAGGGGCAGTGGATTCCAAGTACGGCTTCAAAGTTAGGGCGGAATGCGATGTAAATTGCGATCTCCCAGGGGGAGGGCGGATAATCCCGGGGTGGTGGTGGTAGACATTTAATTCATTTCTAAAACAGAAAATCTGCGCGGTGCAGTTTACCTGGTGCAATCCATGCGAGGCGGCGACGGGGCGGCCAAGGCGGCGGCATAGCCGCCAAACCGACGCACAGCCCCAAACTTCGGGCGGCGACGAGGCGGCGACGGGGCGGCGACGGCAGCAACATAGCCGCCAGACCGACGCACAGCCCCAGACGCCGGGCGGCAACGAGTCGGCGACGGGGCAGGGACGGCGGCAATAGACCGACACACAAGCCCGAAGTGCAAATACTGCTTGGGGAATGTGAATATATCTGCCTCCGTGCCCTGAGGCACGGGCTGGGGTTGGAATTGAAGGCGGGCATGTGCAGTTACAATGACGACCCGCTTTACCCCACCCCTCACGGCAACGCCATATCCTTTAAGCTGTTGCGCAATTCTCGCCCCAAGAAGCACAATCCAAATGGGCCACGACTGCATCCAAGACGGCTCTGAGACGGCCCCTGGCAGCCACGAGTGCTCCAAGACGGCCCAAGCCGGAATCTTGAGTGCCTCGCGATCGTCTAAGAGAGGTCCAGCTCAAGCCCAAGAGAGCCCCAGAGAATGCCACGGGAGCCCACGCATCGAACAAGCCACGACATCGGATGCATGGGCTCGACGATGCGCACCTGATGGGAAGCACCCTGCCCTAAGGCTTCCCAGCCCACTCGGCGTCTGAGCCCGTCCGGCAGCCGAACGGGCAGCCGGCTGGGCTCCATTCTGATACTGCTGCGGGAATTGAGCCCGTTCGGCCGCCGGCGACCGAACGGGCTAAGACGCCGAATGGGCTCCAAAGGAAGTGGGTCCCGATGTTCTGCAAGACCCCCTGATAACCACCCAAAATCGCACGAGGGAACGTCGGCGAACTGCACTGCACTTTCAGTCCAAGAGCGGCGTCCGATCCGTCACTCCCTCGACGCTTAAAAAAGTCGCGGCTAGCTAGCGGCTAGCGATGAAGAGATGCTCCCCCTGGCAGTCTGCAGGGCCCTGAGTGTCGCGAAGACTGCGGCGCTGGCTTCTGACACCTTGAGCGATCGCTGCGAGCTATTGAGCTCGTCGTCGTCGTCGTCGTCGCCGTCGTGGTCGTCGTCGCCGTCGTAGTCGTGGTCGTGGTCGTGGTCGTGGTCGTGGTCGTGGTCGTGGTCGTCGTGGTCGTCGTCGTCGTCGAGTGATCGCTGCTTCCCGACGGCAAAGATCGGCAAGGCACGACCCTGCGTGTCAAGCTCTGGAGACCCTGGATCCACAAATATAGACGCCTCCCTTCTCCAGACATCAGGCGGCATCTCGGAAAAATCGAGTCGAAGGATTTCATAGCGAGTTTTGGCCTCTCGGGGCCCCTAACCAGGCCTCGGGACCGTCAACAAAAACGGCTCGGGATGAAAAACCGGTCCTGGGGAAGTGGTCGCTAGGTCGGGGGACTGTCTCGAGAAAACGAGACGCCGGATGTCTGGACCTGCTTCCGCCGACCTTCCGCTGGAGGATCCGCCACCGCTTCACTTGAGCCGGGCTGCCGCCGGACCTGCGGTGGCGTCAGCCGGTGGCCAGGATCGCCGGAGGAGACTCTATGCCTATAGAAGGCCACAGGGGCAGCGTTTCGTTCTGGATCCATGTTTGAGGTCCCCAGGGCCCGAGGGCAGATTCCAGATGCCGAAAGGAAGGGAAGACGCTGCGAAAGCATGGCGTCGTATAGGCCTCTCGTTTTCTCACAACGTCGACCCCCAGAAGTATCGACCAATTTCCAAGGAGTGGCTCTTCATCTTGAACCGTTTCTTGACGGTCCAGGGGCCAGGCGAGGGCCCCCGGAGGCCGAAGATAGCGTCAGAAACGGCCATCGTGGCCTTTCAACGACGCGACGGGGTCTGGGTCTCGGCTATCCGGCCGCCGTTCGGGACAATCCGGGCTCCTCCGGAACGCTCGCGGCGGGGCGCAGCTGAAGGAGAGCACCCTGGGGCCAGAAGACCGATGATAAACGACGAAAGCGCAAAAACAACTCGAACCCCGAGCTCTGTCACGACACGAACGGTGGCCGATGGCGAACGACGGCGACGAAGCCTCCGTCCCAGGGAGACCCTGCTGCCTGAGCCGCGGGCCCCGGCGAGCACCACGGTGGGCAGCTCGTCCGCCCCCGCCGCGCCTCTGGGGCGGAGGCAAATCTTGTCGCCCCCCACTTCAACGGGTCGACGACGACGACGACGACGACGACGACGACGACGACGACGACGACGACGACGACGACATCGATGACGACGACGACGGCGACGACAACGGCGACGACGACGGCGACGACGGTGACGACGGCGACGACGACGACGACGACGACGGCGACGGCGGTGGCGGAAAATAGGCACGCACATCTCACGGATTTCTGGGATCCGCGCTGGATCCCCCTCCCTGGCGCGCGAGGCGCCGGAGGCGTCGCCAGAGGGGGCCGAAATCGGATCTGATCAATCCGCCCAGAGTTCCATAATTCATCTTTATGTCTCTTGTTCCTCTTTGACCCTCGCGCGTGCCACGGCAAGGCCTGACCTGGAGACGGCCTGCAGCGCCGTCAGCCACATGGCGCCTGCATCCCAAAGAAGGAGGCCCTGAGATCTGGGCGTCGCATTTTTGGGGGGTCGGGCGTTTTCGCTTGGCTTCGGTCCCCGTGACCATCACAGACCGCAGCGGGCCTCCACCGACGGATGTGTCCTCAAGCAGGCTGCAATAATGCTGGTCCCCTCTGGCCTGCCGGCCGCAGCCTTTCACCCAGACCGAGGGGAAAACAGAACTGCGACGGCCGCTCCCGGTCGACTTCGCGCTGCAAGGGCGGCGGGCGCGTGCAAGGTCACGACGCAGTGCAATCGGGAGGAGGAGAGAGAAGGAGGAACGAAGAGCGGCCTCCAGCATAAACCAGCAGGGGTAGCAAAGGACAAGCAAAACAATCATTATTGGGCATGCTGCGGCAAAATCTGCACCTGTTTCCGGAATGCACTGCATGCCTGCACTCGGCCGGACGCAGGGAGGGGGCGAGAACAGAGAGGGGGGCAGCAGCAGCAGCAGCAAGCAGGCAAAGAAGCAGGCAAATGGTGGAGAGGGGAGGCGGGGGCGGTCGCCAGAGGCGCTTGTAGGGAGCGGTCGTCGGGGCGGACGGGGGCGCGGCAGGCGCGGGCGCGTCGGAGGCAGCGTGGTTGTTGATGGCGGCGGCGGGGGGTGCGGCAGGCGTGGGCGCGCCAGGGGCAGACCGGCAGTGCTGGCGGCGGCGCGGGTGCGGCGGCGACTCACACGGCGTCAGCCGCGGCCGCCTCCGAGGCCGCTGCAAGGCGCGCGCCAACCACCCCCGTCGACGGCTGCAGCCGCCGCAGCACCGCCCGCGCGTCCTCCCGATGAAAGGGGGCTGAAAGTCGCTGGGCGTGCCGGTCGGCCACTAGGGCGTCGTCCTCCCTGGTGACGTCAGCCACCCGCTTGGCCAAGATCGCAGAAGCTTTCCTGGCCTCGCGCCCCCCCTCGCCACCGTGGGCCTCCACGACCATAGGTGCGAAGGTGAAGCCCTGCGCCGCGCACTGGCGCTCGGTGTCCAGGTGCTGCCGTTTGAACCCGAACCGCTCCGCAGCCGCGTTGGAGGACGCAGCCGAACGGCGAGGAGGTCGGCGCGAAGCCCGGAAGTGGCAGCGAAGTCCCAGGCCGCTGGAACCCCGTTGCGCCACCTGGGCAGGTAGACGTCACTGGGGCGCCTGCCGCTGCTGGCGTCCAAGCCCGGCCCGACCTGCTCGCCGCTCGGAGGCCCTTCGTTGGCGGCGCGCGGCGGGAGGAGCCTTTCCAGCTCCGCCCCCGCAAAGCCCGCCGGTTGCGCGTCGAAAAACCCCCGGGGCCGATCCAGCACGGAAAATGCCGCAGAACGATGGAACTGCAACGCGTTTTTCACGGTTCGTGATAACGGCCGTTACCAGGGATGCTCCCCCCTTTCCCCCCACCTGGTAACGTCACGGTTCGCGCCGGCGCCGTTTGGGAATGGCTGAAGGGGTAGGAACTTCCCAGACAACGCCGGCGCGAGTCGTGACGTTGCCGGCCGCCTCGCTCCCCCCCTCCCTCCCCTCCGGTAACGGCCGTTCTCGCGGGGAAAAGGCGGGGCCCTGGGGCTCCAGCTGTGATTTCTCTCGACGTTGCAATTTTTTGTGATGCCGGATTTCAGGCAAGGAGGAGGGACCGCAGGTTTCTGCCCATACGTTCTCGGCCGTTCATGGAACGTTCGGACCTCTGGGGGCCCTGCAGAGACCTCCAGAGGCCTCTGCGGGTCCCAGGGTTCCCTGCTGAGCCCACTCGGCGCCTGAGCTGGTTCGGCCGCCGAATGGGCTGCCGAACGGGCTCGATCAATTCCGATACTGCGGTGGGAATTGAGCCCGCTCGGCCGCCGAGTGGGCGCGATCGTGGGCCCCTTCGGCGGCCGAGCGGGCTCAGGCGCCAAGTAGGCCGAGCAGAAAACGCGATGAAGGGACCTCTGGAACCTCCGCGGCCCTCCGAAGGAAGACGACGACGGATGAGGGTAGATTTGAACCCTCGTGGCCACGGCTGGACGCAGCTCAAGGACATGGCCAGGATGGTGTACAGGCGTCCGGAAGGGTGCACCCAAAAACGATTGCGGCCACCACCTTCGCGCTCTCGCCGATCTCTGGGCCTGGATCCTCAGGCAACCTCCAGACCTCTCGCAGGGGCGTATTCCAGCCAGCACTTCGATAGCAGCCGTTGGCACGCGGGCGCCCCAGGAGGTCCAGAAAGCACGCACACTTCATTTACCCAGCGAAGAGGCCCAGCGGCACATAGAGAAGCAGGGGCGGGGGGAGGGAGGAGGGGCGGGGGAAAGAGGGGTGCACGCAGCCCGCAGAGGGGTGCACGCAGCCCGCGCGCGGGCTGCCCAAGAGCCCACCCGGAGGGGGGAGGGGGGGGCGCTTCGGTCGAGAAGCCCAGGCGCCAGCGGGAGCGCCCACCTGGGGGGGCCGGCGCTCCAGCCAGGAATGCGGGGGAGAACCCACCTGGGAGGGGAGGGCGCACCCCAAGGGCAGGAGAGGGAGGGCGCGCCTCCTTTCCGTTTCCTCTGTGAGCCGTGAGGCAGGACCGAGGGGGCCTACAGCGAAGCCCACAATGGAGATCGCGCACTGTGCGCGCGGGAGGAGGCACCTGATCGGTGCACGCACGAGTGCCAGGCCAGCCCAACCGCTTTGCGGAGGTGGCCTGCCTTGCGCTAGCGTTGGGTGCGTCATCGCCACGCCCTTTGGATGCCCCGGGTGAGATGACCTCTTTATGGATGATGGTGCCTCGCGCGCCTCGTCTTCACGGGGCCGGCTCAGTCGTGCTCAACGCATTATAGAGGTAACCTGCGTGGTCGCTGTCGATCGACATGCTGCGCGAGCCCAGAAGCCGACCTCGACCGACATGAGCTCCCACGACAAAGCGAACCCCTTGGACACCTGCAAGCACAGCTCCAAATGCCAACGTCCACGTTGCTACGGCTGGTAAAGACTTGGTTGTCTCGCCAATCTGCTTCAGCACGGGGACTCCCAGGAGCTCCACGTCGCTGACGACGGGGACGGGCGGCTCTAAAACGTGGGTGGCGGTCGAATTCGTGGATGCGTTCTGAATGGAAGCGTCGCCCTCCGCCTCCGTAATGGTGGTGTTGGCGGCCTCCGCCTCCACAGTGCTCGTGGCCGCGGCCTCGTCGTCCGGGCACGTGCAATTCGGCTTTATCCTCGGCGTGCCCTCGCACGTCACTGGGCCTGAGACCGTCTTGAAGATCGGGAACTGCAGCTTGGCGTTGGGGCCCGCGAGGCTGCACGCCTTGCTTGGGTACTCGATGCTGAAATACATGCAGCCGGTGGTGTTCCGACACCACTCCTGGCAATCAAGGGCTGAACCGCCATAACGCGCATCCGAGGGGCGCTCTGGCATGATCCGCGACACCATCGGGGGCTGGTACGCGCCTCCCATCACCATACATCTGTACTCCTCCGCAGGGCTCGAGCTAAACAGTGTTATTGTTCGTTTCCGTATTTGTGTTCGTTCTCACTCGTTCTGTCTTCGTTCTGCCTTTGCTGCGAAACGAACTCAAAACGAACACGGTCTACGGAATCGCCAAAACCCCAAACACCGTTTAGCTCCAGCCCTGCTCCTCCAGAACGTACGTCTTGTTGCCCATTCCGTCGAAGGCCAGACCCTTCGGGCCCACCAGCTGGACGGCCCTGGAGCGGAACCCCGCCGAGTAGCTGCACCAGGACTTCTTCGGGCCGCTCCAGAAGCCGAACCGGGTCGTTTGCCTCAGGGCGAATATGTCCTGCAGGTGGCACTGCCCTGGAGTGTCCATGCTGGGCGACCAGAACGAGAAATGGAAACAGTGCTTGGTCTCTTCACACAGGGCCTGGCACGCGGAAATGTTGGGCACCTGCCTCGCCACGAGCGCGCTGTCCATGTCGACCGGGTCGAAGGTGGTGTCCTTCTCGTAGTCGTCCCGAGTGCCAGGGCACATCTCCAGCTCAGGCACGGGTGCAGCGGTTGGCGCCGCCGTCGGCACCTCGGTGGGCGCCGCGGTGGGCGCCTCGGTTGGCGCCGCGGTCGGTTGCGCCGTCGGCGCCGCGGTCGGCGCCGCGGTCGGCGCCGCGGTCGGCCGCGCCGTCGGCGCCGCGGTCGGCGCCGAGGTCGGTGCCAGCGTGGGGCTGGCGCTGGGCGCCGCCGTGGGCTCGGGCGTCGGCTCTGGAGTCAGCTCGGGCGTAGGGCTGGACGTGGGGTGCTGCGTCGGCTCGGGCGTCGGGGATCGCGTCGGGCTGTCGGGATTTGGCTCCAGCAGCCCCAGGTCCGGGTCGCTCTCCCCCTCTCGGCGGCGAGCCTGGGGGGGAAGTGAGCAGGAGAAAGCCTTCTCAGAAAAGGCTCGGAAGTCCCCTGGCCTTCTGAGAAGTTTGCTGAACCTACCCCGAAGACGCAGGGAACTTCTCAGAAGGCGCGAGGGTTTCTGAGAAGCCCCAACGCTTTCTGAGAAGGGCTTACCCTTCTCACTACTTCCCCCCCTCGCTCGCCGCCGATCCTTGCAGCCCTGCCAGCCCTTGCCCTCGTTCTCGCAGCACCACGCCTTCTTGGCTTCCGACCAGCCCCTCTCCCACCTCGGGAGGCCCGCCTCGCAATCGAACGCCGCCTCCACGGTCGTCTCGGTCGTCGCCGTCGTCGAGGTCACCGTGCCAGTCAACGTCGGCGTCGAAGTTTCTGTGAGCGTCGGGATACAGCCCTGCCAGCCCTTGCCCTCGTTCTCGCAGCACCACGCCTTCTTGGCTTCCGACCAGGCCCTCTCCCACCTCGGGAGGCCCGCCTCGCAATCGAACGCCGCCTCCAGGGCCACCGCGGTCGCCGTGGTCGATGGGGTCACCGTGCCAGTCGTCGGCGTCGAAGTTTCTGTGAGCGTCGGGATACAGCCCTGCCAGCCCTTGCCCTCGTTCTCGCAGCACCACGCCTTCTTGGCTTCCGACCAGCCCCTCTCCCACCTCGGGAGGCCCGCCTCGCAATCGAATTCCGCCTCCGCGGCCACCTCGGTCGTCGCCGTCGTCGAGGTCCTCTCGGCGGTGGTCGTCTCTGTAAACGTGAACTCCGCGACGCACGAGTCGTCCTTGGGCTTCGGCACCTTTAGCCACACGTCCTGGAAGAAGGGGGCGTCCCACCAGATCTTGTCACCGACGACGGTGGCCTGCCTCGCAATGCCCTCGTTCTCGAACAACGTGGAGAAGTGCCCAACGCTCGCGTTGTCGGCCTTGCAGCCCTGCCAGCCCTTGCCCTCGTTCTCGCAACACCACCTCTGCTTGGCGTCCGACCAGCCCGACCACTTCTGCAGGCCCGCCTCGCAGTCGAACTCGACGATCCCCATGGGCCCTCCTCCAACCTGACGGGCGCCCTGGGCCTCCTCGGAGACGACCTTGCTCTGAGAGGTGGCGTCCCACTGGACCGTCTGGCCGTGGATGACGAAGTAGTCGCCACCAGGGCTCGATTCACTAGTGTACACGCCGTCGTACTTCGAGGTCTCGCCGCTGCAGCACCCCAGCATCACCTGGTCGTTTGTGGGGCAGCAGAACCCTGCGAAGACGCTGCAGCTCTTGTGCCCGGAGCAGCAACGGTCCCACCCCAGTGCTGCCGCCATGCCCGTCTTGCAGATGGGCGCGATGCTAGAGTCGGTGGAGCCCGTGGTGGCATTGTTGAAGTAGCCCACGCGCACGTGCTGCGAGTTCTGCGTGGGCGCGCTCACGCAGCCGGTGGGCATCTTGGAGCTGCTCACGGCCTCCACGCCCCGGAGGCCGAGCCTCAGGGCCGCGTGCCTGCACTCCCCCACGCTGCGCACGTCGAAGCCGGCGGGGCAGCCGTCCGCCCCGAACCTGCGGAGGACGTAGCCCTGATCGCCGAAGTCCTCCGCCGCTTCGGGCACCTCGCTGGCCGCCGGCGAGATGCAGAGGAGGCCGAAGGCGCCTCGCCACCGGCGGCATCCCGGCGGCCGGCGCAGGCGGCGCATGGCTCGCAGCGCCGCGCGCCGCGAGCCGAAACGGTTTGAGCCGGACTGCGGAGTTGGCGGCGACCACGCCCGTGTAATTGGCAGTCCTCTCCGCGTCCGTGACCTCGAGGCCGTCCAGGAAGGAATCGGAGAATTTCCAACGGCACACACGGCGCTGCATGAATGCGTCCGAACTTAATCTCCTCTGCCGATGGCGTCGCGTCATGTTGCGCATGCTGATGTTATCATCTAATGTTGCTCGTCAGCGGGGGGGGCATCCACCGCCCCAACATACGAACACATTCCGGAACTTGCGTCATGCTTCCTAACTTTCGACACCCTCATGCTGCCTCATTAGCTGTCTGGTTGCGAATGACTTCGCGTCGAATTGGGAATCTAGTTACCTGCCTGAATATCCAACCGTTAACCTTTCCTGCTAATAAGAGAACTATGCAGCTAGCAATGGGACGGCTGACCCTGCGTGAGAAAGTACCTACTGACCTACATGCGGATGGCTGCTGATGCTGATGGAAGTGCTGATTGCGTTGGCAACTGCGGGACGCCCGACGGAGAAATGATAGGTGGGTAGTGAGCTGTGCTGTATGTACTTACGTACACGTAGAATATAAAGCTACATATACCTGCAGTTATGTATGCACATCTGCGATATGAACGGCTACATACAAATCAATATACATAAGCATGATTATCCTGTATAGTCGATCGACGTTACTACCAAGCAGACCTAGACCGGCATATATGCAAGTATCGTACAACGTAGGTTTCGTTGACTATGACACTATGTGGCACTCCTACGTTATGCAGTTATATACTGTCACGAACAGCATATGTGATGAGTATAACGAGCTATCTAGATGTTATGTATACTCGAATTTCGATAACAACCCACATAACTACCCAACCACGGAGCAACAACCGGGAAAACCACAACAAAACAAACCTCGGGACACCCCGTGAGACAACTCATGGGACACAACCCACAGGACAACCCACAAGACAACCTACGGAACAGTCCACAAAACAACCACGGAACAACCACAGGACAAAGCACGGAATAATCCACGAAACCACTCACAAAACAACCCACGGGACAACAAACACAGAACAATCCACGGGAGAAACCTACAGAACAACCCACGGAACAATCCGCGAGACCACCCACAAAGCAACCCACGGGACAACACACGGAACAATCCACGAGCGATCCGCGGGACAACCAACGGAACAACCCCACGGAACACGCATTGGACCAACATGGCAAACCGTCGGGACAACCCGTGGGATGACCCACGGGACGACCCACGGAACAACCACGAGACAACCACGGGACAACCCGCGAAACAGCTCACGGGACAACCGCAGGATAACCCCGCGGGCCCCCGCGACGCACGCAGAGATTTGTCTTGCCAGGCTTGGCCTTAGCCTCGGCCGACGCATCGCAAGCCCAGCTTCGCCTCGCCTGCACGCACGACACGGACCCAAAACGAAACCAAGACCGAATTCCTGGTTGGGGTCATTTCGCCATCACCCCTCACATCGTCGCCACTCCTCAACATCCGATTGTCGATTTCTCTGGTGCAGTTGTGGTTCATGGTCGCGACGACTTCCAAAGAACTTACTTTACACGCACCGCGCCCCAGCCGCCGCCGACGAATACGCTACTAACGCCGCTGACGACAACGCTTTTTGTACACACCACTCCCGTTGGACAACGCCCTCGCCGACAGTACTGCTCGTCACAGGTCTGGAACCAGTGTCAAACATCGGCCCCCAGACCTGTCTTCGCTCGAAGCGGATCCGGCCGCGGCAACGAAGGCGCCCACTGAACCCCAAGAAAACCCAGGAACCCGAAACTCGGAAAAGGGCCAGTGGCGGGTTGCGGTAATTCCGAACCAGGAAAATGTTTCATTTCTTGGGAGGCGCAACTTTACTTCCGCCAGCCTTCCGCCGCCTTCCGCCAGCGGGGCCGCCTTCGATTCACTTCGGCCGCCTTCCGCCGACCTCCCGCCGTTTGCCGCCGAGGAAGAGATGGCAATTCCTTCGATCCTCGAAGGCGAAGGCCTATCTGGAGCGCGGTGGTTTTTGGCCGTGTTCGGCCTTTGGGGGCCCTCGCCGGGCCTGGAGGCCGTCAGGTTGGAAAACCGTTCCCAGGGCAAGGGTGCGCTCAGGGGTAGAATCGCCGATGGGGCAAACAACCCTGGTCAAAAGCTTAGCGGTCGAGGGCCCTGGCTCGCCTGTGAAGGAGGCCGAGTCCCCGCTTCGATTTTTAGGCTTGCGTCCTACCGTGCCTCGCGAGGACACCCCGAAAGAACATTAAAAAACAACACACCGTTTGCAATCGTCCCTCACGGCGCCGACGGTAGGCGGTGCGCGCGCCCTTCCACTTGTCGGCAAGGCACAACTACTCGCCCATGCACTCCCTGTAAAGCCACAGCAGCAGCAGCAGCAGAGGGAGGGGCCGAAGAAAAGCAGAAAAGGGAAAGGCCCAGACACCCGCGACCCCTCGAAATCAAACGGGGTTGCCGTCAAAAGGCAAGCAGGCGCCAACAACGGGGGTCAATGACACCCCCTGTTCAAAAGACCCAAACTGGGGGACTACTAGGTCAAGTTTACACAGGGACCCCGCCCAAGAGAAGAAAAGAGGGAAAAACGCCCAGGACCCAACAACCGAAAACGGCCCCGAACTTTCGGAAGAAGGAGGGAGCAATTGAAAACGTCCCTCCTCATGGAAGAGGAGGGGCGGCCACGCCCGAAGGCAGCTTTAAGTGCTTCAGATGCACGAGCTCACCACGTGCAGAAGGTCCGACGTCTTTGACAGGTGAAGTACGACTTCAGCGGAAGTCGCCCCGCTGGTAAATCTATAGCTGAAGCGGGCACGTGAACAGCATCTTCGCGAAAAGGTTGCATTAACAAGTGACGAAGTCCATGGCTCAACATACAAAGGCGGGCATACTAATTTCAAGGAGAATCCAGCCTTAAAAGGA